TCATGGTTTCCCTCCTGTTTGATCAATATCAACTACAAAAATCACTTAATTAGTTCTCATATTATTTGTGTGGAACCCGTTTTGTTTCCCTGTTTTGAAGAGTCTAGAATTGTGTCTCTCTCTGAAGATGTTGCCCTTGTGGTCTGGTTTCATTCACAGAGGTCACACTCAGGAAGCTCTCTAGAAAGCACCTGTGTTACTAAAGCTGAGAGGCTTATTCCTGAAGGCTGTGTGCAGAGGAAGTAAAGCTGTTGGTGACTGTTATAAAGAGTGTGTGTTATTGTGTACATGGTGCACATGTGTGGGTGCAAGTGCCTGCATGCTGGCCAGAGAAGCACCTTGGTGTCATTCCTCAGGCGTTGTCCCCATTTTCTCTTTTCTGAGAAAGGTAAACAATGACCCACAATATGACACACAGACTAGGCTGCCTGGACACGGAGCCTGAGCTGAAAAGGGGGGATTGCAAACTCCAACTGCTCCCCCAGTGCACAGCTTCTCTCATGAGCTTCTAGGACTACAATCAGGGTCTCATGCCTGCAAGGCGAGAGCGTTACTAGCTGAGCTGTCTCCCCAGTGCTGGAAAGAACGTTCAGCATTTTGACCGACTGTTGCTTGTCAGTGAAGCCTGATCTTTTCATCCAATGAATGACATCTTTGCGTTGAATATCTGTGATTTCAGACCTACAAATTCTTAAGGCTTCAGATTGTTTGTGTGACATGTTCCTTTTATCTCGATTCTCTGTCAAAATACATTCTCTATCTCATGTATGCTCTTTCAAAAAAGAAAATATGCAACATATAACAAACTGTTATAAATGAAAGCAGAGGTAAGCAAACAGGCTTTGCTTTGATTGCCTGAATGATTGGGGGAAAATGAAAATATCTGAAAAGATGACTCGGCAGATAAAAGCACCTGCCAGCTGTTCCAGAGGACCAGGGTTCGATGCCAAGCACCAACATGGTGGCTCAGCGTCATCTATAATTCCTGTCCCAGGGCATCCAACGTTCTCTTCTGGGTTCCTGGGAAGCCATGGTGCACAGACATATATGTAAGTAAAATATCCTCATATATAAAAATAATAAGGTGGTCAAAAATTTTTAAGATGCTGTACAAATGAGACTCAGTGTTTTAGAGCTTTTGGAACTCTTGTAGTTGACTTTGGTTCACTCTCTTGCACCCACGTGGTGTTTCACATCTATCTGTAACTCTAGTTCCAATTATTTGATATGCTTGTTCTTCTGACCTCCACAGGTAGAGGCATGCAAGTGGTACATTCATATACTCCCGGGCATACCATATATATGAAAAATTTTTTAAAAGTTGTGTCGTTGATGCGGTACCTTCTCACCTCCTCCACCAGGGAGTCATTAGGATCCAGCAACAGACAACCTGAAAGTTATCCTTTCCCTTGGGGAAATTTGATACTGTGGAGGACAAGACAATCTCCACTGTGATGGAAAAACTGCAAGTTTTGCTACTCAGCTTTTATGCCATCAGACAAACACAATAATGTTAAAGCCCTCCTCTCCCCATTGTTTTCTTTGATATATGAGCATTCTTTGTGGTTTCCCTAATATCACAAAAGATTTTGGTTTTCACAAGTGTGGTTCAAACTAGAGTTAACACATGTGAAATCATTGAACTACTTATTAATAAAAATGCCATGAGGATAAAGAGGCATCAAGTACTGGGAACATACCCTCTTCTTCAGTGGAACTTGAAGGATGATAAAAATGTATCACATGAGACAATGAGTCCTTGTATTTCTACTGAGCATCCATTGTGACATGAGATGGTCAATATCTACAAGGTCTTAAGTCACATAGCTTATGTTCTGGTTTTGAAGGAGGAGTGCCTCCCTCTGTTATACAGCCTCCTGTGTCTGAACTCAGCTGGGGTGCCGTAGGGAAGAGTCTGGAACCTTTAGAAGATGGGGTCTCCCAGAAGGACGTGAGAACTGCAGGAAGACTAGAGGTTCAAGAGTCGAGCCCCAGTTCTGTTTGCCCTCTGCTTCCTGAGTCTGGATGCAAAGTGACCAGTCTGCTCCCTGGACCTCTGCCCACACCCTCTCTGCCCACTGCCCTGTCTTCTCTGCCATGATGAGATGACAGCCTTGAAGCATAATCCAGAATGACCCCCCTGTACCCCAAACTGCTTCTCATTGGTTCTATGGTGGTAGACTCTCACCATTATTCTACCCCAACCAGGGAGTCCATGTAATTTACTTTCCCACTTCCTCTGCCTCTCTGGTAGGAGACACCCAACTCCTGCTGCACCGTGTCCCACTATCTGACTAGGAATGCCAGTAACCGATGCCCCTTCCTTGCTTTGGAGGTTCCTCACATTTGCCAGATCATCCTTGGTCTTATCGTCTTGCATGTTTTCAATGTTTTGATCTCACTATCTTGAAGAAGGTCAGTAGAGAGATGCTCACACACGTTGCTGTCTAAAGCAGGTGGACCGCACTGACTCCTACGAGAATAACTGTTTTCCTCTGCTTCATGGCGTTCGGCGAGAAGCTACATGAGTATTTTAATTCTATTTAAAAGTCTTTGGTGTCGAGGGCTGTGTGGAGCCCATGGTCTGATCAGCCACCTGGGCCCATGTTGTAGTCCCAGGGCCATGCTCCCACTGGAGCCATACTGATCTGGGTGTTCTGTGCTGCCACCTGGGCCATGGTGACATCCAGGGCTGAGCTGCTGCCGAGGGCCATCTCTGGGTCCGTGGTCCTGCTGTACTGGATTCTGTAATGATGTCCATGGCTGGTGTTAGAACAGGGGGTCATAGGACCCTCACGTGTGGAATTCAGAGTGGGGTCCTGAACTAGGCCTGCCCTTTGCTGGTCCTGGGATGGATGGTCCTGCCCCTCACTGGATACTGAGGCAGGAGAGATAGCCCTGCCTCCCAGGGGAGGGCACCTCAATCACTCAGGAATGATGGCCCCACCCCCACCACAGGCATGCAGCACACCAGAGCTGAATCTGTTGTGAGGGATGCAGGTCAGCTGACACCGAGGCCTGAGAATAGGAGAGCTGACCCCCACCCCCATCTGCCATACGGTGGCATGGGTGAGAGAGATGCCCTTCCCCTCACCCACTGCCTCCTGGGGCAGGCGAGAGAGCTGGCACCTGGGTTACAGAAGTGGGAGAGCTAGCCCTGTCTCTCACTGGCCTCTGCACACAGGAGAGCAGGCTGGCACCCTGCCAATGTGCTTGTGGATTTATATCAGCATAAATGCATTGCTTCTCCCTGCTGCCCCAAGAGAGAGTGCTTGTCTTTCGGGATCCTAAGACCCACTGATGGCTTCCAGGGCAGACGGCTCAATGAAACCTGGTTGGAAAACAACCCTGTAATGGGAAGTAAAGGTTGTTCTAGGTGACACGCTTCTATGGACCTTTGCTACCAAGGGATAAAGTCTGGGTTCCCATTTGCCCATTTTCTCCCAGCATGCAACACTCACACACTCAGTAGTTTGAACAAGTTTCATAAAGCAGCCCTTGTCCACCACAGCTGTAGTCTTGCTGCTCTCTGGCTCAGATGTGTCTCCTAAGCATAAACGGAGCACGCGTGAACTCTGGAAACGTCTGCAGGGAGGGTCTTCTGCCACCTGAGCAGTCACTACTTAGCACTCTTCCCCAAAATTTCCTTCAGCCATGTTTGTCACCACCCTGCTCCTGCCACAGCCACCCCACCTCCTCCACACCCCACACACCGAACCCCAGAGCTGAAGAAAAATCAACCTTTCCTTGCCTTGTGTTTGTAAACGAACTGGCTGATTTAGATCTCATCTAAACTGTTTCCTTCTCCTTCCTCTCGCTCCTTCCTTCCTCCCTCCCTCCCTCCCTTCCTTCCTTCCTCCTTTCCTCCCCTTTCCTTCCTTCTTTGTGGATTGATTTCAGCTGGGGTAGGGGATGAGGAGCTGAGTGGACTTGGCATCCTTTTGGTTTTCTCCTGGAGACAAGGTCTCACTGTGGACCCCAGGCTTGCCTAGGGCAGCAACCCTGCTGCTTCAGGCTTTCCAGGGCAGGGGTCACAGACCTGCCGACAATACTCTCCAGCCTTTTGCTTTTCTGAGGCATCTACTCCCAAGGACAGAGGGATCAAGGTCTAACCTCCCCTGTAGCAGTCACCTGGCTACAGCCAACTCTCTGGGCAGCACCTCCCTGGAACGCTTCCGTCCCAGGTAGCCTAGGCTGTGCCTGCCATCTGGGCTGCGGGACCCAGGCCACAGAGCTGTTCGGTGAAGCAGCAGTGGCCTCCTCTCTTCAAGAGCCACACCACACGTGCTCCAAGTCTTGACCACACTGGGCCTGGGAGCAAGAAGGGGCTGCAGGCCACAGGGAAGTATCGTCTCCAGCACCTCAGAGCACAGCAGGTTGACACGGAGGCCCATTCAGCCTGCCACACAGCTGGCTTGAGGCAGGGATCCTGGCTCAGGGAACCTAGTTCAGGGCACCTGCAATGTAGGGAGGGAGGATGGTGTGCCCACCACATCCTGCTGGAGTCCCCTCTCCTGATGACTGTCAGGCAGCCAGCGAGTACAGACAGCCAGAACGGGTGAAGGGGAGGGTGCCTGAGAGGAGACACAGAACATGTGTAGGAGCGGGAGGAGCGGGACAAGGGCAGGGGTGACAGGAGGGTCCCTGGGATCTGCTAGGGACCCATGAAAGACAGTCTCTGAAGGGCAATCATGCAGGAAATGGGACAGAGAAACATGTGTCCTATTTACAGGCTGTTCTTACAGACGACTGCCCTCAGCTCCCAATTCCCAGGACCAGTCCTCAGACCAGCCTACCCTAGGAACTTCTTCCGGCCCTTCCTAGGCTGGCGATTCTCATATGGAGTTCTCAGTATGTTCTTCCAGACTCTTCAGCAGTGTCATAATTCTATGAATATTTCTGTCTCCCCTTGTTGTCAAGGGCACTTTACCATATTCCCAGTGTTTGGAATAATCTGAAACCGTGTACAGTTAAATATAAAATACAATAATGTCATCATGCATGGTGGCATCCAATTTTAATCTCAGCATTGGGAGGCAAGAAGCATGTAGATCTATATGAGTTCAAGGCCAACCTGGTCTACACAGTGAGTTCCAGGACAGCCAGGACTATACAGTGGGACCCTGTCTCAAAACAAAAAAACAATGCTGGGCCTGGTGATGCATGCCTTTAATCCCAGCACTCAGGAGGTATAGCCAGGCGGATCTCTGTGAGTTCGAGGCCAGCCTGGTCTTCAGAGCGAGATCCAGGATAGGCACCAAAACTACAGAGAAACCCTGTCTCAAAAAACAAAAACAAACACAAACAAACAACAACAACAAAACCACAAAAAACCCAACCAAACCAATAATGTCTTATTTTTTTATGGCATCACAGATGCCCTCTCAATATGAAAAAAAAAAAATGGAATGTAAAAGGTCTGAGTGCAAACTATCAAAGAGGTAGATTCTCAACTGGTAAACAGAGTTTTTACTAACAGAAATTTTGAGACTATGAATGATGAGATGTGAAGAATGGCCATCCCAGCGTGGAAGGATAACAGGAGTGATTTATTTCTTTGTGTTCTTTTATATGTGCCACAAGAAAGGAAATACTATTTTAAGATTTAATTTATGTATATGTGTCTGTGTAAATGAATGCCACATGCATGCAGGTACTCTCAGAATTCAGCTGGAGCTATAAGCAGTTGTGAGCTGCCCGATGTGGATGCTGAGAACCAAACTCAGGTCCTCTAGAAGAGTAGTAAGTGCTTCTAACTGTTGAGCCCTGTCTCTAGCCTTAGACAGTAAATGGTTTTATATTCAGGGAAAAAAATCAAGCTTCCTATAACCAAAGTATGTGAGGGTAGATGTGCTGGGAGGTACTTCCGAGGTCACTCAGGCCTCCGCTCTTCCCGGTCTATTAGTCCCCGGGGCCTCGCTCACCTCCGGGGGTCTCCTTCTCCGAGCTTATTGGTCAGGACATAACTGGTCTTTTCACCCTCTTTGGTCAAACCCTGGTAAAGAAAAGAAGACAGGGCCTGAGGACTCTGGAAAATTCAAAGGAGGTGTAAAGTCAAAGGAGGCCAGGCTCTGCCATCCAGTTGTCCAGCCCTGAGTCTTCTCTACCAGGAAAGGCTAGGATCAACTAATCAGCGACACTTGGTAGCAAGTGCCCTACCAACTGATGACCAGCCTACAGCATGTTTGCTAGCAGATGATCTAACGGGAAGGACCCTGGGCAGGGGTTAGGAGGCCTGGAGTGGCTTCTGATGGCCTCTCTCCTGTGAATATATACAGGGAAATTGCATGGAATGAGCCAGATATGGTGATACAGGTCCATACTTCTAGCTACTTGGGAAGTCGATGCAGGAGGATAACAAGGTCAAGGCTAGTAGCATGGAAACTTCTCAAATTACATGGCGAGGGTAAGGGGTGGATTAACAAAGTGGTAAGAACACTTGCCTAGCATTTATGAGGTCCTGTGTTTAGTTAATTAAATAAAAATTCCAAGGAGTTTAAGACTGATTTGCTCATCCCTACTGGCATCTGTTTAGCCAGTGAAGGGAGGAAGGATGAGTAGGGCTCTGCCTTCCTTTAGGATAATTCTTACCCCAGATATGGGAATTTGGAATGGAAGTTGTATGAACCATAGAAGAAACCTCTATCTTAGTTTTTTAATCTATAAATGGACATAAAGTCCTATCATACAGGACTACAAAGATTAAACTTGGTATGACATTTAACATACAGAAGCGGTTATAGATCTGGGAAATGAGATGTGGAGACAAGAGATTCATTACTCATGGGAAGACAATTTAATGCCTTACTTAATACTATTCTAGAATGATCTGAAGTTTCTCCATTAAGTGTGTACTAAATACAATAAAAATAGTTTATGAAAACTGGGGGCTTATAACACTGGCGTCCAAAAGGCAATTCCCTCAGTCCTGAAATCATGAAACCACTCTGGAGTGCCAGTCATTCAGTTGTGGCTTCTCCAAAAACCAGGGCTAATCTGTGGCTGTGACTGGGTTTACAGGGTGTACCTCACCTGGACAGGTTTCTCCATCACGCCAGACAAGGCTTTCTCCATCACTTTCCCAGCAAAGATGGACTTCCTGGCCCACCCATGCTTTGGGGATGACCAGTTCTACCCGGAACCAGCAGGTCCACCACCTGTAAAAGAGCTGTTGTGATGGGCCTAGGAGTGGAAACCCTGTTCTTGAATTAAACGTCAACAGGGCCTTGAGACTTTCTCCATGCATCTGCAGCATCACAAGGTACTCAGCTTTGAGCCACAGGAACGGAGAATTGGGAAAGAACAAAGACCCAAGGGAAAGATCATTCACCTAAAGAGGGAAACGGACAGAGGCGGCAGGGATGAAAATACTCAGGTGAAGACATCAAAGGAGGAAGGCGATTCTCCCAGCAGAGGGCGCTACTCTCTGCCATACAGCAGTCTAGGGCCCAAGACAATGAGGCGTGGCTTTGGTGAGGAGGAATGAGAGGGGCGGGGCTTCTCCAAGCTGGGTGTTACCCACGTGGGTCCGAAGCTGTCGCCGACCTGCGCAGGGCTGAAGTTCTTCTGCACCGCCTCCTCATAGGGAAGCCTCTCCCGCGTTAGGAAGCTAGACAGTGTCACCGGGCAGCTGTCCCCGAAGAGCCTGGGCAGGAAGAGCCAATGGGCGCGTGCCTGAAGCCTCCCCCTTTTGACCCCTGAGCCAGCCGATGGGTCGGAAAACTCTCTCAGCTTAACACCTTGAGGACTGCCTGGCAGCTCAGCAGCACAAACCACCCTCTACCCACGGCTCCCCAGCCCCTGCCTTGTCCGCGGCGGGCACTTTGTTCCGCGGCCCGGGTGGCCACAGCCTGGGTTTCCCTCCGGAAGGGAAGGGATGAGCGCGCGGATGCGGTTTGCGGCTACGCAGCCCAGGGGCCACACCTGCCGCGGAGGTTACAGTCGGTGAAGTAGATCGGAGACACGAACTTCTCCACCCGCTCAAAAGTAGTCCGCCAATGCTTCAAGAACGGCGCTGCGGCCATGGCGATGCACCTACTTCTCTCCCCGGAAGATCCTTGGTGCTGCCGGCTCGCTGCACTGCCTGGAACCAAAGGTTCCGGCTTTCGACCAGCGCATTCCTAACCCGAGCAGCTTTTCTTGGGACACCAGCGGCTTTTGCAAGATGCTGACTTTGGGGAACCATCCTGGTAAGACCCGGAAGCTGCGGTTTTCATCTCATCCCAGCTGACAGCTGGGTAAATTATCCTTAAATAAAATGGCAGGTTTGACCTGGTGATGTGGTTCGGTACGGAGAGTGCTTGCCTAGGATGCACGAAGCCCTGGGTGCGTGGAGGCGGGGAGTGTAAATTGAAGGATATCCGCAGCAACATAGCCATTTGAGGACAGCCTGGGCTACTTAAGACTCAGAAGGGTGGGGAATATGGATGGAACCTCTGGAAGGTCCTGGAAAAGATTTAGGGCCAAGCAAGAGTTAATTTGCTTTCCAGTCGCTACACTTACATGAGCACTAGTACCTGCACAATATGAAAAGCGCAAGGCTGGCAGTCTCGGGTATGTGTTCAAACTAATCGGCAGTGCATCAAGAGATAGGGAAAAGGGGCTTTACACCCCAGTAACCCTCCATTACATATATTATATACATCACTGTTGCTCATCACCAAAATGTCTGGATTTTTGACCTGATGCAGTAGGTCAACAAGTGCCAGGAAGCTTTAATGCCAAAAGCCGACCTCCAGCTTTAACGTTTGCCGGAGTACGTGTAAAACCACTAGGAAAAACCTAACTAGCCGGTTTTAATGGGATTAACTGAGTTTGCATTTCAAATTCAGGTTCCTTAGAAAAATGACCAAGTGGTTGGCGCACACCTTTAATCCCGGCACTGGGGGAGTGGGGGTGGGGGACAGAGGCGGGGACAGATAGATCACTGAGTTCCAGGACAGCCAGGACTGTACAAAGAGAAACCCTGTTCCGAAGGAAAATGGACCAGCAAATGTCATTTAAATAAAACTTTCTATGTGAAATCTTGACCAAAGTTACCTGTGAGTCACGAGCTTTGAAGTAGCCTGGGCTATGTGTGACCCTGTGTCAGATGAATAAAAAGCTCACTTTGTATTTTGAAAACCCAGGAGTCAATTTTCTTTATGGTGGTGTTAAGAGATTAAAAAAAAATTGTATTTTATTGGGGAGGGGGCGACGATACAGTTCCCTCCTTTCACCATGTGGGGTCCAGGGCTCAAACTTAGGTCTTCAGGCTTAGTGGCAAGAACCTTAACCAGCTGAGCCATCTTTTTGGCCAAGGTAACCAGGGATTTTTAATTGGAAAATAACATGATACCAATTATAACTATGAGGGCTATTTTGTTGTTCAGCAAGTCCAGGCCAACCATATTTGAAGATCCCTAATGTTCATGTTTGAATTGATGTAACTTTTAAAAAGTGGGGGCTAGTTAGATGGGTGAAGGTAATAAATAGCACAGATAAATACACTGATAACCAAGCCTGACAACCTGAGTCCGATCCCTAGAACTGACTTCCACACTTGCACCTTGGTGCGTATGCACACACATGCAAGAGTACACACACAAATAAATGTCAATTTTTTTAAATTTCATTTTTTGAGACAGGGTCTCTCTGTAGCCCTGGCAATTCTGGAATTATGTAGACCAAGCTGTCCTTGAACTCACAGAGACCTGTTTGCTTCTACCTCTGAGTGCTGAGATTAAAGGCTTGTGTTATTATATTTTTACAAGTCTTATGTCATTTGCTGTTGCTAAGCAATATATCAAATTCATTCCCTTCCAACTTCCAACTAGACACTTGACAATTACTTCAGCTTGGTATCTTGAATTGTTGCCTCATTCCCAGTAAGGAAAATTAAAAATCTGAGGGGAGAACAAAAGACCTGGGTGTACCTGTGCATGAGTGCACAGGAATTCAGGCACTCATGTACCAGAGGTCACTTGTGGAGGCCAAAGGACCACTTTGGTAGTCATTCCTTCCACTGTGGGATTCAGAGATCAAACTCAGGTGGGCAGGCTTGTGTGGCTTGTATGGAGCCATCTTTTGATATATGTTGATATGACAAGTGCAAGTACCTATTTATTTAAAGCAACACCATATTTGTAACCTGGAAAAGAAACTTTTTACAGCTACTTTACAATAGCTCTCTGGTGAGGACAAGGGACTTGGGTTACTTATTTCCTTAGGAACCAAGCTTTATTTACATTTTTTAAAAAAAAGTTGGGGGGGGGCAGCAAGTTTTACACAAAAGTACTACAATGGTATCTCCCTTTGGTAAAAAGTGTAATAAATGTCTTGTACATCTCTTTATAGGTACTAAATCTGAAGCCACATAGTACTATGGTACACAAGAAGCTAGAGCACTTATGCTAGCACATCAAAGCATATTTCCTTTAATAAAAAATTGACAGTATGTACATTATTTACAAAAAAGAAAATCCAAGTTAAAACTGTGTGTGTGTGTGTGTGTGTGTGTGTGTCTGTCTGTCTGTGAGTAAAGCTGGTGGATGGCACTAGGGTAGACTAGTAAAGAAGCAGGTACAAAACAGTCCCACAGGAGCTAAAAAGGAGGACGGACTGGAATTTGTTGAGGCTGAGAATCAGCAGAGGGAGGAAGGTGGGCTGCGAGGACTCAGAAACCAAATCCACAACGTATCAATCCCAAAGTCAAACAGCAGGCCTCAGATAAAATCTAACAGGATCTTAGATATGGTTAAGTGGGGATGTCGTCAAATCCAGTCTTCACGATCGATGCCTTTTAGGGGAAGGGAGAGGAGCAGTGACCACCAGTTACAGTCCAACTGTTTTGTAAATGCACCTCCATCCGTCCAAAGGTGACAGCATCTGGTTGCTCATCTAAGGTCAGGTCATACAAGTTCTAGTTTGATCTCTGCTGGTGTGTGCAAGCAAGCTGCCTGTCTCTCTGCTTGCATGGACTTCATTCCCTGTTGGGCAGGCTAGTACCCTTGGGAAGTGCCAGTTCCAGCTCTCTAAGGTATCCGTCCACATTCCTCGTGTGTATCCTGCTTGGTGCCAGGTCGCGCTGGTGGCTTGAATGGCATCTTCCTTGATTCTTGGTGTGTGAGTACACATGCCCACACAGACACACACACACACACAGGCACACACACACACACAGGCGCGCACACACGCAGACACACACCTCTGAGCTACCTGCTCTGGCTCTGCAGTTAAGGGGCTTTGAATACTGTGCCGTACTTGACACGATACTTGTTAATGCTCACGAAGTGCAGAGTCTCTGTGTCACAGGTGGTGGTGCAGGGCACCAGGCCCTCTAGCCCCTCACCCATTAGCCACTTGCTGGTCTCTGCTGCCATTTCACGAGGCACATGCTCCTTGGTCCATTTATCTACCCAGGCCTGGAACCGCTGATGGAGACGCTTGCTTACTCGTTCATGGGACTAAAAGTAAAAGAGAGAGAAAGGATAAAATAGGCAAAACAGATTCTTCAAAATCCAAAAGTCAGTATTTGTTTATTTATTTATTCATTCATTTATTTATTTATTTGAGACAGAGTCTCACTGTGTAGCTCTGGCTGCCCTGAAACTCAAGAGGTCTGTTTGCCCATGCCTCCTGAGTGCTGGGATTAAAGAAACAAGCCACCACACCTGGCTAATTTTATTACTTTATTATGTGTACAGTGGGCATTCTGCCTGCATGTATATGTACACAGTGTAGGTGCCTGGTGTTTGTGGAAGCCAGAAGAGAGCACTGGATCTCCTAGAATTGGAGTTACAGACCATTGTGAGCTGCCATGTGGGTGTTGGGAATTGAACCTGGGTCCTATGGAAGAACAGCCAGTGTTTTTAACCACGGAGTCATCTCCCCAGCCCCGCAGAATGCTATCTTTGAAAGAAAAAAAAGTCATGTTGTACCCGACACTAAACATAATGACATATACTCCATCCCTGAAACTGTACAGAGACCCCTGACTCCTACAGCTCGTCCTCTGACCTCGTCCTCTGACCTCCATGCTCACACTGTGGCATGCACACTCACATAAACACAAGGCCACATAAACATGAAATAAATACACAAAATAAATAAATGTAAACAAAAGGGCCCCAGTATATCTGAAACAAAATCCAACGTATGGCCCATGGAGACTAATGTGACCTCGCCTACCCTCACAACTGTACAACGTCTCCTTTCTCTATAGCTCTCCCCTGAACCACTGTTCTTATTCTCACTAATATGCCAGTGCCTTTCCTTCTTTCCAGCCTTGCATTTAACATTTCTGTTGTACAGGAAACACGTCTCCCTTAACTCTACACCTTGTTTGTTATTCAGGTCTCAAGTATCCTGTATTTGAGAAGCTACCAATGAAATCCATGTTGGTTCCCTTGACCCTTTTATTTCCTTAGTAATGCATAGAAACACTACTCATTTGCCCTAGATTGTGGCTGTATCCCAGAACCTGCTATAACACATGCTACATCACAAGTAAGACAGCCCTTGAAAACAGGGTTCACACAAACAAAAGATGAGAAACCATCTGAAATGTAAGCCCTGGGAGAAACGTTTTTAGAAAGTAACACCAGGTGTTTAACCACCTCTTGTAGGTTAAACTGTAGCCCACACTCTGAAGCCTTCATCCTACACACCCATCCTTCAAAATGACATTTATTCAGACATACAAGAGAAAAAACATGAATGACCCAGGAACACTAAAACAGCACAGTACCAACAGCTATTCTCCCCTTAGGGACCTCAAGAGTCCAACACTTTTTGACAGATAAGTCTTGGGGGTTTTAGGTCTCAGAACCTCAAGATGTTGTATGTTATGTGTGGGAAGCAGGTATTTGGGGCCCATGCCTAGAAGACCTTGGGTGTGCTGGGAAGTATTCTACCACAAACTACAGATACCCAACAATTTCTACCCTTTAAGCCATGAAGTCTGTGCTACTCTGTTACAAGATCCTTAGCAAACAAATACACCTGCTTACATAACAACTGTTTGTTCTGGGAACAGGTTTTTATAAAAGGGAAATATTTCACACCATTGTAGTAGGACTGGGGAGAGAAATCGCAACCACCAGTTCTTACCTGATGAGCTCTGAGTAAAGCGGTTCTCCGGTACATGTAGTCCTCCGACTTGATCACATAGACCATTTTATAGGAGTTCAGCTTGAACCTACACTCCAGCTTATCCAGGCTCTCTACGTTCTCCATGGTCTTCTTGCTGTTTCCTTCCTTCCCTTCTTTCTCCTGTTGCTCTCGACCACGCTGACACTTTCGGATACGCCGCAAATTTCTACAAAGCAGAAAGCCCTTCATGTTGAGAGACCATCTATATATAGATTAAATCCCCACAACTCCTACCAAATGTTCTTTAAGATGTGCCTCAAGAATACTTGTGATGATGTTAGTTACACATGTAGAAAATGTGCAATGGTTTCACTTAATTTACATGTATACTTACTTGAAACCCCAACCTTGATCACACTATGTGTGATCTCAATTTTTCATTTATCCTTTTTCCATTTCAGTACACAAATCTGTCTTGTTCTCTTTACCAGCTACAGAGCAATATCCCAATTTATTCCTTCATTGCCTCTAAACTGGAGTCCCTCATCTAAACTAGGTAACAGAAAATTACTTGAAGGGCTACTTTCCAGATGTCCTATTAGTATCTACATACAAAGGAAAGAAGATTGTTCCAATCAATGGGTCCAGGAAGGGTTGGGGATGGTGCTTAGAACCTCTTTCTAGTCTCTACTGGAGAAAAATAGCCAGCTAGACAATTACATTATGCCTCATACTTTGCTACTAAAAACACAAACCTGAGTGTAGTGGTTCAGGCCTGTAATCCCAGTACCTCAGGAGGCAGAGGCAGGAGGACTGAGTTCCAGGTCAGCCTGGGCTACAAGGAAAGACGACCTTACTTTAAAACATTAAAAATACAAAAACCATTCCCTAAGTAGTTGTGTGTACTGGCCCGTGATAGCAATTCTTAAGATTCTTCTAAGAGTAGTATGCAATCAAAACTATTTTCCGAATAGCAAATATTATTTGTTCCTTCCACTACACATGTGGATTGGCAGTGTGATGGTGAAAAGACTGAGCACAGTAGGGCTAACTGTAATCTCAGCACTCAGGGTTAAGAGCTGGAGGCCAGCCTTGGCAGTATAAATAGCCTGTTTTTGTGGGGGTACACACGTCTTTAGTCCCAGCACTCGAGAGGCAGAGGCAGGCTGATCTCAGTGAGTCTGAGGCCAGCCTGGTCTACAAGGTGAGTTCCAGGACAGCCAGGGCTGATACACAAAGAAACCTTGTCTAGAAAAGAGAGAGACAGAGAGGGGAAGAGAGGGAGAGGGAGGGAGGGGGGGGAGAGAGGGAGGGAGAGAGGGAGAAAGAGAGAGAGGGAGAGAGGGGGAGAGAGAGAGAGAGAGAGAGAGGGAGAGAGGGAGAGAGAGGGAGAGAGAAAGAGTACTTTTTCTGGGGACTACAAATCATACTCAGAAACCTTTGCATTCTTTTCTGATCACAGATGGACACCAAACAAAGCTGATTTTACTTTTTAAAAAATGGACATAATACAGTAGTTACATTGTTTATAAAACCTTTTGTCTTTTTAAAAAATGTTTATTTTGGGGTTGGGGGATTTAGCTCAGTGGTAGAGTGCTTGCCTAGCAAACACAAGGCCCTGGGTTCAGTCCTCAGCTCAGGGTGGGGGGTGGGGGTGGGGTGTGGATTTATTTTATTTTTATGAGTGGTTGGTATGTTCACTGTCTTCATACACTGCAGTGGGAGAACCTGGGTCCCTTCTGGAAGACCAACCAGTGCTCTTAACCACTGAGCCCTCTCTCCAGTCCCCGATCTCCATCTTTTTAGTGTGTCCTGTGGTAAAATGGGAATCACCCATACAGCCCCTTTGTGTATTGAAGGAAGAAAATATTCTTGAAAGGTATGTGAGCAATTACCAGACTTACAAATGAAAGACAACGGAATAAAAAATTAGCCCTGGGAACATGCAAGCTATTTTCTGAAAAGTACACATTACTTCAAGGAAAACAACATATTTATTGCCAATGATAAGATTGGAACTTCTGAATAAACTTGAGCTTTTGATAAACTGACAATAACTACCATAAGCTCTACGGCTTTCCAGTACTTGAAACGTGTCTGTGATGAAACTAATAGCACTGACAGAAATAAAGGTGACTTTTGGAGGGATAATGTGAAACACATTGGTATTTATTTAGTATACTTAACAAAGTTAACGCCTCCCAAATAATTAGTCATATGAAGAAGTTACAAAGTCATCTATGAAAACAATTTACTCAAGGGACACGACAAACCACTGTGTTTGCTAGTGCCATACAAAGTTCACAGACACTGCATATTACCATTTGTAAAGTCTTTTTAAAAACTTAATAGCATGTGTGTGCACAAGTGCATGCATGCACATGTATGTGTGGACTCAAGAGGATGGATGACCTTTGGGAATCTGTGATCTCTCCGTCCATGGACTCTGGGTATGGAATTCAGGTCTATCAGGCATGCTAACAAGCATTTTCTACCATTTGGCCCACCCACTTGGAGAATGCCTGTCAAAGAACAGGACCCACAACCATCTGAAAATACTCTACAGCTCTATACACAAGGCAGGCTACAATTTCTTCATTTATATTAAAAAGATTTGTTTTAAATTAGCTTTGCAGTAAGATCATTTATGAAAACACAGTGGGCTTTGTATCTTGGCTTTTTGTTTGTTTGAGACAGGGTCTGACCTCTAAGGATGATGTTCATTTCTGATCTTCCTGTATGAGTGCTGGAATTCAGTCATTCACCACCATGCCTACTTGATACAGCCTAGGGATCAAACAGAGCTTTGTGCCTACTGAGCAAGCATGCTACTAACTCTTTTTTCAGGTTTTGTTTTGTTTATTTTTGGTTTTTCAATACAGGGTTTCTCTGTGTAACAATCCTGGCTATTCTGGAACTCACTTTGTAGACCAGGCTGGCTTCAACCTCACTGAGATCCACTTGCCTCTTCCTCCCAAATGCTGGAATTAAAGGCATGTGACACACTGCCCAGCCGTTTTTCAGTTTTAATCTCTAATATGGCAAACACAACTAGCATGATAACAATAAATAAAAGTTTTCTTGGGAACTTAAGCCCTAAGAATGCATAAAGGCCCCAAAGACAAGGAGTCAGGGCTGCTGAGTTGGCTCAGCACTTGCTGACAGGCACATCAAATGGAGTTCAATCTCTGGGACCCACAGGGTGGAAGTAAAGAACCACCTCCCACAAGTTAGTTGTCCTCTGACTTCAACATGTGCTCTATAACACATGCACATACCTGTATATACCTACCCACCTCCTCAGCTGACAGACAAATCATTGAAAACCAAAATATGGTTTTCATGCTTTGCTGGGTGTGGTGACACACGGCTCTAATCCCAGCATCTGGAAAGCAGAGGCAAGTGATCTCTCTGAGTTCAGGACCAGTCTGGTCTACCTACTGAGTTCCAGGACAACCAGGACTACATAATGAGACCCTGTTTGAAAACCACAAAAACCAACCAAACAAATAAATCTTAAAATGTGACATGATGAGATGATACAGAGTCCATGTCCATTTTGCTGAGAAGAGCTTAGCAACAGCTCAAGTCCACTAAATGGACTGTTGAGTGGAGAACCTGCAAAGACCTTTTCTCTAGGTGCACCCTTTCAATGTTCTCACTGGGACTAAGCCCAGTAATCCCTGAATACAACTTTTAGGAATTGAAGGTTTTCTTTCTTTCTTTCTTTGGTTTTTCAAGACAGGGTTTCTCTGTGTAGTCCTGGCTGTCTTGGAACTTGCTCTAATTCACAAGGCTGGCTTCTAACTCACAGAAATCCACCTGCCTCTGCCTCCTAAGTGCTGGGATTAAAAAGGTGTGTGCTACCATGCCTGGCTCTAAAATAGATTTTAATCTCAAAGTTTTAAAAGAAAAACCCACCCCTACTGCTTTTGTTTTTAAAGGGTATGATGTGCTTGTCAACTAGACTAATCTGGAATTAATGAAAACCTACAACATGGAGGAGGGCACACCTGCAAGGGACTTTTGTTTAATTTAAAGTGGGAAGATCTACTTCTAATCCGGGTCTTTGAGGTAGGAAGACACCCCTTTAATCGATATCTTTTGAGCTGAGAAGACCCATCTCTGATCTGGGCCACACTTCTGATGGACGCCTATATGAGGAAGGAAGCTTTTGCTCCTTGCCTGCTTGCTCTTGCCTTGCTGTATCAAGTCTATTCCTTCACTAGCATTAGAGTTACTTCTTTGAAATTCTGGCGTATACTGAACACCAGCTAAGACATCCAGCTTAAATCTGCCTTCTAAACAACTACTGGATTTAAAACAACTACTGGATTCTTGGACCTTCCATTCATGGGCAGCCACTGTTATATTACCTGGACCGCAGCCTGTAAGCTATTCCAATAAATTCCTTTTCTATATACATAGAGAGGCTGATTCTGTAAATTCTGTTCCTCTAGAGAATCCTGATTAACACAGAAGGATTGTATAGTGTAGCCCAGGCTAGTGTTGAAGTCACAGCAATCCTTGTGCCGGAACTTCCTGAGTACCATGATTACAGGTATAAATTACATGCCCGGTTCTTCTACCCAATTTCTACTTCTAAAATAGTTTTCCAAATTAGAGGATCAGCATTAAACTTGCCTGTATATGAGGAAAATTTTAAAGTTCTATACAGAAAAGAATTACACCATAGCTACAAGAGATTTGGGACCCTTTCTACCACAAAACCACAAACCTGGTTTACTGAACTCAAACTGTTTATTCTTCCATCTGGAATTTTGGTACATGCCATGAAGAAGGTCTCTACTTCGTTCTCTTTTTTTCCCCCTTGAAGATAGGAAGACAGGGTTTCTATGTGTAGCCTTGGCTGTCTTAGAATTTACTCTGTAGACCAGGCTGGCCTCGAACCCAGAGATCTGCCTGCCTCTGCCTTCTCAGTGCTGGGATCAACAATATGTGGCATCATCACTTGGCTGGAGAAGGTGACTTCATGTCAACCTTAATAAAAAGCCTGGCATCCAGTTTAATGAGCTTCTCTGGGAGGCAGTTCTCCAAACACAATATTGGCTTCGAGGAATTATATGACTTACATGACTGTGCTGGAAGAAGACTCTTAGAAGCTTATATGTAGCTCCCTCAAATTCTTTCATTTCCTGATTCTGCTCTGTATTTTCTTGTGACAACTATAGTTCTGAGTACGGCTATATGCTGAGTCCTGATAATGAATCACTACTACTCCATGGACACACAACTCCGTCTGATGGAGTGAGGACTACAGGTTCTCTAATGCTTTCACCTCTTGAATGCTGGGGATTTTACAGGTAAGCCAGCAAATGCTCTAATGCCATTCTCAGGAAAGAGAACAGATGAACAATATAGAAACCAAGAATCTGAAGCTCCTCCCCGCCCCCACCCCAAGCTGTGAACAGTATATATTACCACCAGCAGTGACTTTGCAGACTTGCCTTGGGAGAAATACTGGTTTCTGTGCCAGATGTTCTCGAAGTTCAGGAGATGTAGTATCAGAACTCATATATCGTTCCACATAGTCTGACCAACGCTAGGAAGAGAAACATAAGAGAAAGATCATAAAAACAGCTACATCAGGAGTCTAATCCTACCACAAAATGTACAGACTACAGATTTCAAGAACCAAATAGCCTAGTGTGGTAGTATACAAAAGTAATTCTAGCACCTGGGAGAATAAGATAGGATGACTGCAAACTTAAGGCCAGTGAAGGCCATATGGAAAGAGCCTATCCAAAAAAGGGGGGGTCACTCAGATTAGCTCAGTGGTAAAGTGATTGCCTTTGAACCCCAGAACTGTAAAACTAAAAAGTAATGCCCTTTCAAGAACATGCTTGTTACTTGGTATTGAAATACATATTTAAACTGTTAGCCAGGCAAGATAGTACATTTGAGGTGGTTATCAAAACTAAATTGGTAGAAACTGTGAAAGGACCAAGCAGATGCCATGACAGGCTGCTCAGTCTTCTCTCAGAGATCAGGCCTCAATTTAAGTTTCCTGAGATTTGAGCAAACAGTTTCTGGAAGGGCCATGAACAAAAGACATAGTCCTTGCAGTAGTTCCTTTTCTGCACGTACTCCGACTGCTTGGGACCCCTCACCAACTTAAGAGCTACATGCATGAGTCAATGTGAACGTATGAGGCCAGCCTCCATGGCAACACAAGGACAGAGTCTGGGCCACTGAGTCAGCTCCCACAGTCAGTACGTGCTTGACCAGCCAGCATCCATGGTGCTCAAGAACAAAGCCTGGGACTTGTCCAGGCCTGCCCAAAAATGATAACTGTAACCCCCAACCAGTAAATTCAAAGGTTATATGATGGAAGGCTTGTAGCACCCTGCTTGTGATTTTCCCCTTTAAAAACCCCTCACCCTGAGAGCTCAGGGCCGTCCTCCTCCACCCACTGTGCCGAGTGTTGGACACGGACCAAGCCCGGGCCTGCTTGTTATCAATAAACTCCTGTATGTTTTGCATCAGATACCGACTCTATGGTGGTCTTGCTCGGGGTCTCTAGACGGGTGTCAGCATCCACAAATGCAGAACAGTGTCACTGATAACCTTCCACATTAATACGTGGAATTCTGGCAACTCTTGAAAAAAATGTAAAGTTTTGGCAAACATAAGCCAAATGGTCTCTTCTTATTCTTCAGAACATCATCTATGTGGCCTGGCCCCTTTTTATATTATTATTGCAGACCAATGACAATATATTACCCGAGTCAAAAACTCCTGGGTTCACAGGGTGGTGGTAGCTCACATCTTTAATCCCAGCACTTGGGAGGCAGAAACAGGTGGATCTCTGTGAGTTCTAGGCCAGACTGGTCTATAAAACCAGTTCCAGGACAGCCAGGACTACACAGAGAAACTTTGTCTCAAAAAACAAAAACAAAACAAAAAAGTAAACATGAGGGCTGAAGAGATGGCTCAGAGGCTAAGAGCACTGGCTGCCCTTCCAGAAGTCCTAAATTCAATTCCCAGCAACCACATGGTGGCTCACGACCATCTGTAATGAGATCTGGTGCCCTCTTCTGGCCTGTAGGGATACACTGTATACATAATAAATAAGTAAATCTTTTTTTAAAAAGTAAACAAACATGATACTATATCAAATGATACCACAAAACAAACAAAAACATCGCATTTACTGTTTAGAGTCATTTAGAGGAAAACAAAAACAAAAGGAAAAGTTAAGCTGCCAACCGTATTTACTGAGGAGGAAAGGGGAGGCACTGACCCTAAACAGCTACTACCACTGCAGCCTCCAAAGTGAATATGGATAGACTTAGTTGGAATAACTTACACTCTAAATAACTGTTAAAACACCTTCTGGAGGGCTTGAGATGCCTGAGTGGTTAAAACACACACACACACACACACACACACACACACACACACACACACACACACACACACCACACACACACACACACACACACACACACACACACACACACACACGCCCCCTAAATCAGTGGTGGTAGCACAGGCCTTTAACTTCAGCACTCGGGAGGCAAAGGCAAGTGGATATCTGAGTTCTAAGCCAGCCTGGTCTACAGAGGAAGTTCCAGGACAGCCAAGACTATACAGAGAGACCATGTCTCAAAAATAAATAAATAAATAAACAAATAAAATAACATAAAAGTAAATCCTAAAAACATAATCACAGGAACCCTAAGGAGCTTCAGAATCCCCCAGAATTCAGGGCAACTAGGCAAGCTCTATGTGCAATGTACTTGTCCATACCTCTGCTTCCACAGGGTCATCTGAGTTCTCCTCTTCTGTGTCCAGAAGCTCAATGGTCAGCTGAACCTGGCCTTGACTTTGAATGAACATTAGCTGAAAACAGAAGCAGAGCATAAACAAACAAAACAAAACTTCTAGGGCCATAAACCTAGATTGTCATACTGTAGGTGGAAAGGTATTAAAATTCTAAAATTTTGTTCCAGGGCTGGAGAGATGGCTCAGTTATTAAGAGCACTGACTGCTCTTCCAGAGGACCCGGGTTCAATTCCCAGCACCCACATGGCAGCTAACAACTGCCTCACATAGACATACATGCAGGCAAAACATCAATGCACAGAAAGTAAAAATAAATTATTTAAAAAAATAAATAAAATTTTGTTCCAACGAAAAAGATGAGGATATTGAAAAGCTGCTGATTAAAAAAAGATAAAGTGGGACTGCAGAGATGGCTCAGGAGTTAAAAGCCCTGGCTGTTCTTCTAGAGTACCTGGGTTTGACACATGGTGGTAACTCCAGTTCCAGAGGATACAATGTCCTCTTTTGGCCTCTGAGGGCATTGCATGCAGATGGTATAGAAACATACATGAAGTCAAAGCATCCTTACACATAAAAATACATCTTAAAAACAATTTTTAAGTTAGTAACTGATCATTTGCTCAGGTTACACAGCTCACACCCCAATCCAGCTAGGTCAAAGTGGAGCTCTCAGCCCTTACCAGAGAAGCCTCCTTCCGCAGGTAGGGACTACTACAAAGAGCCACAACTGGTCAAAATGCAGAACATGACTGACCATGGTGTGCCTGACCCCAACTGATATATCTGCAATGCAAGCCCTACACTTAAGGTTCAGCAAAGATTAAGAAAGAAGAGTCACAAAGACTGTAAGAGCCAGAATACCAGGGGATTGGTTTTGAGATAGTATCTTCTAGACATAACAGGGAAGCCACATCCATGAAATCTCAAAAATAGGGTTACCTAAACAAGACCTGCATAATGACGTTGGCTATTCCACGGTAGAGGGGAGAATTTCACAAAGGTTCGTCATTAGTTGGAAGAGCTACATACAGGTAGTCAATGGCTGTTGGGAGAGGGAGAACCCATTTTCTCCAGTGACAAGCCCCTGATAGGTTACCCCAGCTGGTCAGTCCTAAATATACGTACATCTAAGTAACACCAAATGGATTCCAGGGGCTGTATTCACACAGTGAAAATTAAAGAGAGCAAATGGGAAGGAACACAGGAGAAACTGGAAGGGGAAAGAAAGGGGTAGAAATGACAAACATAGTATTCATGTGTGAAATTTTCAAAAATTAAAAATTGAAAGAAATTACAAAGAATGTTCTGTTGGACTAGCAGGATGGCTCAGTGGGTAAAGGTACTTACTGACAAGCTGACAACCTGAGCTTAAACCCTGAAGTCCACACAGTGGGAGGAGAGACCTGGCTCCTGTCACACACACAGTCTTTAGAAGGTTCTGTTAAGCTGGGTGTGATGGTGCATGCCTGTAATTCCAGCACAAAGGAGGCGAGGCAAGAGGACTGACTGCCAACAATATGGCCTACAGAGTCAGTTTCAGACAAATCTGGGCTAAAAACAGAGCCACAAACAAACCATTCTGGATTCTAATACTTTGCTAATAATATGTGTATGATTTTAAAAACATTCATTTATAAATCAAAACACTGATCACTTCTCGGCCTTTTGGCTAAGATCAAGTGTAGTATAAATCAAAACACTGATCAGGGCAGTTATATGCCATATTTTATAGAAACCTGTTAACAGCTGTCCTTTTCTGGAACCTTGGCTTTCTCAATGTCCTGACTCAGTTTACTGAAGATAAGAAAATACATACATACATGCAGGTAAAACACCCACATAAAATAAAAAAATAAAATTCCCATGGGCAATTCCATTTTTCACGAGTAAATTTGTGGTAAGTTGGTCACAGCAGGACACTGCTTTAATTCTAGAACCAAGAATGTGGAGGCAAGATGCTCAAAGGCTAAAATATGGTCACCTGTGACATGGCAGTTTAAGGACAGCTTGATAACTCTATCTCAAAAAGTAAAAATAAAAAACCAAACTTAATTTCAACCTTCTTCATTGACACAGAAAGAAACTAGAATTCGAGGATTGTAAAAGGCCATGTTACGATTCTGGCAGATGGAGCAAGATGGAAGCTCACTGGCTTGCAGTATGCCTTTTAGAGAGGCTATTTTAAAAAACACAAAAACCCTAATCTGTTGCTAAAACTTAAAATCTAGCAAAAATAATATAGTTAACCTAAAACAAATCTGAGACAAACAAACAGAACAATAAAAACATGTTACATTATACACCGTGCAAGTGATTCAACACTTCACCCTCCTCTCGTCTCCCAGAGGACCATAACAGGCTGTTTATTGTTTTGAGACAGGGTTCTCCTATGTAGCCCTGGTTGTCATGGAACTCTGGAGGTTGAGAAAGGAGGATCTATAATTTAAGAATAGCCTGTGTTACATAGCTAGACCCTGTCTCATTAAAAAAAAAAAAAAAAAAAAAAAAAGCAGAAGGGAAGATGAGGGGAAGGGAGAAAAAAGTAGCTGTAGAAACTGTGTTGATGATCCTGGGGATTGAATAATTAAACCAGCTCTTTTAAAGTGTGCATTTTCAAGGGGCTAAACAGACAGCTCAGCGCTGGGAACATGCAAAGTATTATTTTAAGGTGTGTTACTTTTGTTTATGTTGCATTTGTTTAACTCTGTGAAGCTGTGTTACTCTGTCTATCTAAAACACCTGATGGCCTAATAAAGAGCTGAACAGTCAATAGTGAGGCAGGAGAAAGAAATAGGCAGGGCTGGCAGGCAGAGAGAATAAATAGAAGGAGAATCTGGGAGAGAAAAAGGAGTAGCCAAAGGCGGCGGAGGACATCAGCGGCCAGCCACCAGCTACACAGCAAGCCAGAGAATAAGTAAGAATAAGATTTACAGCCGGGCGGTGGTGGCGCACGCCTTTAATCCCAGCTCTAGGGAGGTAGAGAAAGGTGGATCTCTATGAGTTCAAGACCAGCCTGGGCTACAGAGTGAGTTCCAGGAAAGGCGCCAAAGCTACACAGAGAAACCCTGTCTTGAAAAAAAACAAAAACAAACAAACAACAACAAAAAAGAGTAAGATTTACAGAAGTAAGAGAAAAGCCCAGAGGCAAAAGTTAGATGGGATAATTTAATAAAAGGAAACAAGCCACGCTAAGGAAGGCCAAGCATTCATAAGTAAAAATAAGCCTCCATGTGTGATTTTAATGCTAGCCACCCAGCTAGCATTGTAGTTTTTTAAAAGTTCTGAGACCAACAAAGTTTGGTTTTGTTTATTTTATTTATTTATTTTTTTTTAATGCAACCAAAGTAACTGGGCAGACAGCTCAGTTGGTAAAGTGCTTGCTGCCAAATAAGCACGGGGATCTGGTTTGATTCCCAGTACTCATGTACAACTCTGGCTCGTAATCACAGCACTGGAGAGAAAGCCAGCCCACCAGAGAAAATTCAGTGAGCTCCAGGCCAATGAGACAGACTATTAAAAAAGGAGAGAAAAGGAAGGTGGTGGGGGAGACACAAAACCTGTAAGGTGTACACCTCCTGCAGCAGACCATGAGCACACACGTGCACACACACTCAAACCTGTACTCAAAACACATACACATAACAAACGAGTGAACGAAGGAGTGAACGGCAGGAGAGGATCAGAAGTAGACTGTCCAACACAGACTTGCTTTTGGAGATTAACGGCGGCGGCGGCAGCAGCTGGCTACATGAGTAACTCCTACCTTAAAGCAGTTCTCATCTGACATAAGCTGCTCTGCTTTCCGCTGGTACGTGGACTCCAGAAGGCTCCTTGACGTCTGAGTGTTCAGCTGGCCTCCGGTGGCTCCGTTATTGTTTTCTGCCAAGTACAGGTCAGTAACCTGCACACAGACCTCATCGCTGACGATGTGCTGCAGCTAGAACAAAGCACAGGCCAGCCAGTGAGCCAGGAAAGCACCGCTCCTGTCCTCTGGTCAGTCCACTTAAAACGTTTTTGGTTTTTTTTTTAAATTTACAAAGTTAAGCACTATCATTTTCACAGAAAATAACCAAGTCAGGATCTCCTGCCTTTATAAACACTCATAAAGAAAACTCACATATATTTAAAAGCAAAACCAAGTCTCAGTGGGATAATGATTTCTGCTCATGTTTCCTAGCAAAGTAAATAAAATGTCATTCCAAGTATCTTAAAAAAATGCTTTGCAGTTAACTGGCTTTTGTTTTTGTTTGTGATGGGGTCTAATGTACTCTAGGCTAGCTTCAATTTTAGTATGTAGCTGAGAGATAACCTTGAAATCCTAATCTTCCTGTCTCCACCTCCCAGGTTTAGGGATTATGTGTACCACCATGCCAGGTTCCATAGTTTGTATTCCATGCCACCTCCATGTATTTTTAAATTGTTTACAATTTTGTTTTCACATATATTTCTCATCCAATCCATAAGTACTCTGGAAAACAGGCTAGAATGGAAGAAATCCCCTATTGTAAGAAATTTTTTTGTGTGTTAAATAATAAACTTATGGGACTTGGTGTGTGGAGAGGCACATCAGAGAACTCTAAAAACAAGATCCACGTGACTTTGAAAAGAATATTTTTATAGGTGTGTCAGCTATATGTGTTTGGGTGCTCACAGAGGCTGGAAGGGAACACTGGATATCATAGAACTGCAGTTACAGGCAGTTACAGGAGGTTGTGAGCCACCATGTGGGTGCTGAGAAGAATAGCAAGTGCTCCTAACTGCTGAGCCACTTTCTAAGTCCATTTCTAGGATTCCTAATCCTTGTACAAAACCTGAAATTTAAAAAGTTGCTGCATAAACCAGGTGGGGTAGCTCACGCCTTTAATCCCAGCATTCAAGCGGCAGAAGTACATGGATCATTTTGTGTTCAAGGCCAGTCTGGTGTACATGGTGAGTTCCAGGACAGCCAGGGCTATATAGAGACCTTGTCTCCTCATTACCTACCCCCCAGGAGCTCAATTAATGAGCAGACTTGGAACTAGAAATCAAGTTCTTAACCCAGGGCCAACTTGCTCACTAGCAGGCTAATGATTATTCCACATTTGGCAGAAGTATAGTCCTTAAATTATGCACATTAATTCTTTTAATTTTTTCCTAAGGCTGGGTTAGATTAAACCCAGGACCATATAAAGTTACACCCTTCACCTCAACTGTTCATTTTCAATACAAGCTAAATGTGGTTGAAAATTGTTAACCTTTTTTTGGAGGGGCTTGCAGCAAACTTACTAGACTTAATGACTTATGTTAACAACCGTAAAGTCGAACCTTGTATGCACTGGTTGCTGGGGCAATCCCAGGCCATGACATATGTTAGGCAAGTGCTACAACCACGGGCAACATCCCCATCCCCATCCCACTAGTTCTGTTTTGATTTCCTTCACTATTCTTATTGTGAAATTAAAATTCTAGATGACTCAGAGGGTAAAGTTGATTGGCCTCAAGCCTGATGACCTGAGTTTAACCCCTGAAATTCACATGGTGGAAGGAGAGAACACACACCCATAAGCTCTCCTCCTTACCTTCACATAGACACATGGCACACACATACACAAAACACATAAATAAATGTCAAAATAATAACTCTCTCAAGTGAAATGAAACCCTACCCATAAAAACACCAGAAAAAATTAAAATTTAGGATTGGGGTATATATAGCTTAGTGATAGAGGGCTTGCCTAGCCAGACAAGGTCTTGAGTTTAGTCCCTAACACCAAACCAACCAATCCCTAAAAACAGAGAAGGAAAATGTTAATTTCAATACTGATTCATCTATTTTACTTAGCCATTCTACTTTTAGGAAGATATGGTCTTTGTGAAGTAAAAACAATTTGGACATCACCATTAAAATAAGGCTTATTATGACTTGGTAACACAGTAAAAGCTTCACCAAGTTTTAAGTGGGGGAGAAAGAGCAAGGTAAAAGTCTAGGCAAGACATGAACTCTCCACACCATGAAGATTCTCCTGGCTTGTATCTTGTTAAAGAGGACTAAGTACCACTTATTCCCTATTCACATCCTCTTACGTATCCGGCCTCTCTCAGAATCTTTGGAAAAGGCAGCACTATAAATGCAGAGACAACTAGGGGACATATACACTCACAGTCACGTTTAGCCTTTCATCTGGTAACCTGAAATGATGTAGGGATGGTTTTTGGGATTCTTTTCTTTTTTTTTAAAATAGAGGCACCTGCATTGAAAAGCTGGGTAATACCAAGGTCAGAGGTGTTGAAGTCTCAGAAGGGCTGGCAAAGGCGGAAGTATATGCTGAGTGTCCAGTGCAGAGAAACGAGAATGGAGATGGCCAGGAGGATGGGATGCTTCCCTTGTCAGGTCCTCACACGATGACATCATATTTGAGCTCTGTTACTAAGATATCTGAGACTGCCTACTTAGAGTTAACCCCTCTTTTTGAGACACGGTCTTATGTATCAGAGGCTGTCCTTGAACTTCCTATGTAGTTGAAGATGACCTTCAACGTTTGACCTCCTCCTCCAAAATGCTGAGATTATATGTATATTGCCACACCCATTTTATGGAGGGTTGGAGATCCAACCCAGGCCTTCATGTATGCTTGGCAATTAACTATCAATTGAGCTACAGAAAGCCCCAGCCTGAAAAAGTTAAGACAAATGTATAGCTTGACCTTGAAACTTGTTCAACCAGAACTGAACTCCAGGGGACCACCAAGTAAAAAGAAAAGAAAAGATGATTAGACCCAGCTCACTTTAAAGTTATGAGAAGTGTGATGGTTTGAACAGGAATGGCCCCCACAGACTCATGTGTTTGAATGCTTGGCTCACAGGGAGTGGCACTGTTAGGAGGTGTGGCCTTGCTGGAATAGGAGTAGCCTTGTTAAAAGAAGTGTGTCTTTTAACAAAAAGAAGGCTCTGAGGTCTCATATTCTCAAGCTAATCCAGTGTGGAAAAGTCTCCTCTTGCTGCCTGCTGACCAAGACATAGATATCTCAGCTCCTTCTCCAGCATCATGTCTGCCTGCATGATGCCATGCTTCTCACTATGAGGATAACGGACTAAAAACATTTGAAACTGTAAGCCAGCCCCAATTAAATGTTTCTTTTTATAAGAGTTGCTGTGGTCATGGTGTCTCTTCCCAGCAATAAAACCATAAGACAAGAAATTTGAATGTCTTAAAAACACATGGATTTGGGTTTTCTGGAGGAAACTCCTGTTTTCCAGTTTTAAAAAGTATGTTGATAGCGTTAACCACACAAATTCATACCCAGATTCTTTTAAGTAAATAAATTCTATTTAAAAAACTAACCTAAGGCTTATGAAAGTTAATTTTATTGGCTTGGTACTATGAAAGACTTTGTTCCTAGCTGTAGCCAATAGTAAGATTGGAAGCAGAAACATACATGGGGGAAATGGAGCTGGTAATTTATATACATTTAGGGAATCAATAGGGATTTGTCTTTCAAATTATGAGTCTAGCTGACTGTCAGTCATCACCCAGACCCCTTGGGGGAAGGTCTAGTAGTTTTTCAACTTTTAGAGTTGCCTCACTAACAACTTTGGGTAAGACACAAGATTCAGTTACATTCAGCTTTCTTATATTTTTGGTTGTGAGCCTAGCCTTTAACGGCTGAGCTATCCCTCCAGGCCAACATTCAGCTTTCTTACCAATCCTGACTAGATTCTATGAGCATACAGAGGCATATATCCTTCCAAAGCCAAGGGAAAAGCAAGGGTCCTTTGCAAGAGTCAGTATTTTCCTCAAGGGAACTCTAAGCCTTTCTCTACAATACAGAAGCAATGTGGACTCCAGGGAAGAATTTGCTTTTTCTATCTTCTTAGCTCACAGAATTCGTGTACTCTGATCCCCTAGGGAGTTCAGAATACTAGTAGGAAGTCTATCCACGCAGCAGAAAACCTGTGACAACCTTCCTGTCAGGAGGATAACACAGAAAGAATCACATTGGTTGGCTCACACCTGTAATCTCAGTAATCAGGAAACTGACACAGAATAAGACTAGTTCAAGGTCAGTCAATGCTATATAGTGAGATCCTGACACAAACATACTCAACATATTGAAAAATTCCAAAAATAAAACATAAAAGCAACTACAAACTTAACACAGTGAGTCTCAGATAAATGAGGTGGGCAGAGCATTTTAAAGGACTTCTAATATTAAATAAGGCAAATAGACAGAATCACCATCATCTACAGAAAAGGCAATGTTACATCTATGTTTCCTTCTCAGAAAATGTTAAGAGGTGAACCTCTATGTCTTCTTTAAGTGGCCATTAGGACAGGCTCTGAGGAGGGTCACACTACTGCAAAGGTACATTGAGAACAACTTAAGATCCATTTCAAGGCTGGAAGAGTCATGCTTTGTTAACAGGAGAAACAGATGTTGTACAGCTATCTCCTCTGAACAGAAACATCAGACTCAGGAAGTAAGTAAAAGCATAGAAGAATCAGTAAGTAAAGGAAACAAAGTTTTGAAAGCTCCTGAAAACTTGACTTAGAATTGACACTCCCTAACACACAACGGGGGTCTCATATATCCCAGGCTGGCCTAGAATGTAGCTGAGGAGGACGCTGAATTTCTTAACCTCCTGTAAAAGCAGTAACAACATCTGGGGAGAAGACACCCTCCAACAGATCAAGCTGCCTTCTGGTTGTGCAGGAGCTCCAAGGATTCAGCTTCTGTGAATTGCCAGCCAGGCTGGAGCATGTATGCTGAACTTTTCAATGAAGCGCTGACTTTGGGTTACCCATGTTCTTTAAGTAACCCCAATAAACGTAATGGTTCACTGAGCTAGATTTGGTTAGAAATATTTCTTTAATTTGTTGTCAGTGCATCATAAGGGGTAAAGAAATGTTTGTTCATTGTCTCTCCTGGAAAAGCCAAACAACAGACTTCACTTTAACTTGGTCCTTTCCATTTCAGAGACACACATTTATAAACACTGTATATGGTTAAGTTGCTTTCCTTTTCCTATAGAAATCTTGTTTTTTCTTTGCCTAACCTACTTTTAGGTTAGGACACCTTCCCTTGACAGTCCTAGCCTCCAGCACACCCTCTCACCTGTCTGACGATGCTCTGGATTAGTTTGTCCATAGTAAAGGCAATGTAGGCGTGAATGGTGAACATCTCTCTCAATGAATCTTCATACTGTGATGAGTCTATGTTGCCATCAAGCAGGCTCCGCACCATGTCCAGGAAAGCTGGGTAATAATCTTCTACATCAACATCCACTACAGGAAAGATGAGAGAGGTAAGACCTTACTCTGCTAAGACAAGCTCAAAGACAGAGAGCAGGGGATCCCATAGCTGGCTTATACAGCCTTTCAAGGAACACACACCAGACATGCAAAACATGTCTGACTCGACCCAATTCCAGCAGAGATGACATCTGATAGGAGGCTGTAATCACCAGCACTGTCCATCCCAGAACAGTGACTGCAACTTCTACACCGGCTTCCAACAGAGACTACACGGGAAAGAGACTTCGCTGTCATCTGAGAGCAAAATATCCCAAAACATCCCATTCAAGTTGCTGCCTCTGCCTGCTCCACTTACACAAAACCATTTGCAAGGGGGACATAAGCTCATAAAGCTATTTCAATGAAGAGTGAGTAGAGACAAGAAAAGGCAGGCATAGTTAGATGCCAGCTAGCACTTGGAGACCTCTTGGTAAGCCCGCCATCAAAACATCTGATTTTATCATGTCTTTTCTTTCAAATGGATCTGCAACACTGTACCCCACAAATTACATGAAATGACTTGTCCTTGTCGCACATGGGGCACTTCATCCAACAGCTGGGACAAGTCAGACTAGTAGAGACAGCAATTAGGACAGGGCACTAGGAGTGGGGACTCCTCAACTCACGAAAATAGCACCCACAGAAATAGCACCCATTTATACAGAGCTCAAAACTAACCTCATCTTGGCCAGTGTGGCACAAGCCTATACCCCGGGGAGGTTAAAACCAGAGGATTTCTGAGAGTTTGAAACCAGCCTAGACTACATAACAAGTTCCTGGTCGGTGAACATCTTGTAGCAGGAGACCCTCTCTCAAATACCAAAAAAGGCTGGAAATCAAAACAGTGGTGCAAGGAGGTCACTGAGTCTTCACTTTATTGTTTTCCTTCTTCTCTTTTTTGACTAAAGTATGATCATTATAGAAAAATGTATAGAACTATGAAATTCAATTTGTGGGGCAGGGGAAATGGTTCAGTGGATAAGAACACTTCCTACGTAAGGGGCCTCAGCAACCCTATGAAAAGCTGGTTGTCACCACCTGTACCCTCAGCCCTGCAGGGTGGGAAGAGAGAGAAGCACTAACGTATGCTGATCACCGACCTAGCTACAGGTTCAGTGAGACCCTGTCTCAAGGCGGAAGCTACAGAATACTAGTGGATACTCCATGTTTTCCTCTAGCCTCCCTGTACATAGGCCCCTGAACCCCCCGCCACGCACACACAGAAAAATTCACATTTTTGTCCCTTTGTTGCATTCCAATAGAAAATTCATTAAAAATGTTAATTACAAAAGGAACTCTTCTCATTGATTTAACTGGCCACCTATTTGTAAGGGGAAACAAAAAAAGATCCACCTAAGCCAAACTAGGTGGATCTCACAGACAGGCAAAAGAAACAATTACTGTTTAAAACACACTACTGGCTGGAGTTGTGTAACAGAATATCACCTTGTCTAAGCCCATGAAAGAAGCAGGTGGCCTCTGAAATATGCCAGGATAAAGTGGAGTCCAAACAACAGATCTGTCGCCACAGCTATGACTGGCATGATCACCCAAGAACAAACTACTGCAGCCTACGTCCAGGTTAAGACAGTTATCAAGCCCAGATTTGGCTACTGTATTTGTAACTTCTACTAAACACAAGGAATCATCACACTTAAGGCCCAAAGTTGTTTCTTTCGTGCTAGGTCTAATACAGATAAAGGCCTTTCAGATGGATTCCTGGAGCCATCAGTTCAACAGATAAGAAGCTAGAGTTGTACACAGGATTCCCACAACAGTTATTTACTACTTCATGAAGAGCACAGAAAGGAAGCCTGCAAGGAAGCGTCTGGCTCACAGGTTAAATACCTAAAGGATGAAACCGTTATCTGAAGTAGGCAGCAGAGCACGGCATGGCGTAAAGCACACGGCAGCTTCGTTCACGAGCCCTTGGCTTTCCTTTTCTTGAGTTCCCTTTATCCCTTTGCTGTGTCTCACACCACTTTGAGTCCCAATCCCTTTTCAGAAAATATCAGCATGAGCCATGAAGCCCATTAAAGAGAAGCTTGCTAACACACATCTAAGAACATTCCTATTTGTCATAAGCATGAATAACGAGGGATTTATATGTTCTTATGGGATGGAATGAACTATGACATCTCATCAGAAACACTGCTCATTAACCTAGCCAATGAATCTCCCATCCCTCACATGACCACAGTGCTAACGATGGGCCCCATGTGTCCATAAACCGGGTACTGCACAAGGTGCTATATATAGATCTTTCCCTAAGCCCTCAAGCAACCCCATAAGGTAACAATCACTGCCTCCATTTTATTGGTTCATCTATGAGTTCATGGGTTTAAGGAAGGTTAGACAACCACTTAAGTTGCAGAGGTAGGATCTGAACCCTAGTTCCAATCTAAGGCAGCTGCAAATTGAATGAAACCTCGAAGCCAGCCATCCACCCTACACACGTTCTGAAAGCCAACCGTCGAAGCACTCACTAGGCTCTTTGAGACGTAGCTGTATGGCAGGGCTATCACTCTTGTCTCGCTTTATGCCTAGCACCTCCCGTTCCCACTCTCTCTCGCGGTTTTCCTCTTCAATTTGCCGCTCAGCTTGGGAACAAATCCGTAGCAGCCTCAAGCAGAGAATCTGATGCAGTCGCATAAATATATACCAGTTGTTATTGACATAGAAGAGGTTATATACTTCATCCATCCCTCGTAACTTTTGAGCTGCTGTGTTACTAAATAACAACTTGGACTTAGGGGGACTACCCCCGACACCATTGTGCTTCTTAGGTGCCCCTGTGGCTTCGTCCACATCCATTTCTTCCTCCTCTTCTTCTTCCACATCTGAGAGATCACCTCTCTGAGCAAACAGTAGATCAGGAATGAAATGATGCATGATTTGTTTGATTTTGTACTTGTCCTCTTTTTGAATGCCTGTTTGCCTCTTCACATGATGGATAATCAGAGCAGCAGCATCTTCTAGGATCTGTTTGTCTTCATAGGCAAGTGAGAGGTGTGGGCCAACAGGTACACCAGAATTCTCTTCTGTAGCCTGTTCTTGTCTCTGATGGAACAGACAAAAAAGCATTGTGTGACATGTATACAGCAACAAGCCCACAAGACTGCATCAGCAATGCCAGGTGGTGGTGGCACACACCTTTAATCCCAGCACTCGGGAGACAAAGGCAGGCAGATCTCTGAGTGAGACCAGCCTGGGCTACAAAGCCAAGTACCAAGTTCTAGGATAGCCAGGGCTATACAAAGAAACCCTGTCTTGGAAAACAAAAACAAACAAGCAAACAAACAAAAAAAACTACACCAGCAGTGCATTTTATTATTAACCATAGTGGAAACTAGGCACAGTGGTACCTATCTATAATTCCAGCCTTTGGGAGGCTAAGCCAGAAAAGGTGAAAGTTCTAAGCCAGTTTGGGCTTACATAAGGAGATCCTATCTCAAAACAGTCAGACAGAGACATGATAATGGCTACCCAATCCAAAATACAGGAACTGACCTAACAGTTTTTGTCTCTCTTCCAAATATTCATAGGTACTAAAGATTAGTACTTCTAGATACTGAGGACTTAAGAGAATTGCCTTTAAAATTATAGATTATCATTTACAGAAGATATAAAATATGAGGGTGGAGTTTGTCACATGGAAGTTAACATGGTCAAACATAGATACTTAAGTGAAAAGTTCACTTAGTATTTTTATTCTTCAAAACTCAGGACCACTTTTGAAAGCTCCCTACCTCCTAGAACAGGTCGTATTCCCTCTGACTCTTGGCTCCTACTACTTTGCACTCTCACTAAGTGTGCGGAGTGACAGGGATTACCGACACTCTTTAAGATGAGGTGGGTAAGAAGGTCTCCACAAACACAAGACATTTGTTGGGAGAAGTGGGGGGCAGAAGGTGTAAACAGAAAGTAGAATGGTAAGTTGGGAAACTAGAGGAAGAACTAAGTGTAACAATGAGTCTTAGGTTTAAAGTGGTACACCAGGAATCAAAAGCTATGATGGATTCCAGTCATGAAGCAAGAACCAGCAGCTCTCAGTGACTGCAGAGCCAAAGCCAGGCTGAACACAGAGAGCAAAGTTGACAGAGATGTAGAACCACCCAGCTCACCTCGTCATAGATGCTTTCAATCTCATTGAGTAAGCTCTTAGACCTCAGGACCTTGGTGTCATTCTGTTTGAAGTTGATGCCCTGGTGATCCAAAGACTTTAAGTAGTACTTCTCATTTTGCTCCCGCCACACCTTGTTAAAGCCTCTCTGAGCTTCTCGCCATTCTTCCTCTTTCATCTTCAACCTTAGCAGGGTGGGAAGAGGTGTGAATAACAATTCAGGGGGTTTAGAAATGGGAAATATGCCAGGCTTATATGATTTGGTGAAAACTTGAACCTATGCAAAATCTGGTCAATTGTTGGTACTTGAGATAATAACCTTGATTTTATCTAAATGAGGTTTTTTTCCCCCCAAGGGAGCTTGTTTTTCTAGACATGTCTTGCAGTGAAGCCTTGGCCTGGTACACAGACCACACAAGTCTCAAACTTACAGCAATTCTACTTTCCACCTCCCCAATGCTGACATTATAGGCACAAGTAACCACATCTGGCTTCCTTCTGTGAGAATTCCGGAAATTGAATGGAAGGCAGGTTTGGTGGTGCACACCTTTAATCCCAGCCCTTGGGAAACAGAGGCAGGTGGATCTTTGTGAAATTAAGGCCAGCCTGGTCTACGAAACAGTTCCAGGACAACCAGGGCTATACAGAGAAAGCCTGTCTTGGGCGGAAGAAAGAAAAAAAAAAAAAAAAAAAAAGAGGTTTTTATGAAGGAGCATGGAGCTGTTTCTGAGACAAGACCTCACAGCATTGGATGACTTGGAGACCAGGCTAACATCAAATTTATAGCAATCTTCCTGCCTCTGTCTCCCTAGTGTGAAGACTATAATAAGCATGAGCCACTATTGGCTTTGATGAGTATTCTTGAAAAGTGAGTTTTCCTTGGCCAACTAAAGCAACACTGAACTTGCTTCTATGTCATGACTTAGAATGTTTACTGAGCTAATGGAAATGCAAAATCCAAAAGAGGGCATTTAGTGACGGGGAAGATTGCAAGTTCAAAGCCAGTCTGGACAATATGAAACCTTATTCCCAAAAAGTGTACACAAAGACACACACACACACACACACACACACACAGGTTGGGATATGGTAAAGCATTTGCCTACCAAGCATGTTACACAAATGGTCCGAAGTTCAATCTACTGAGAAACAAAAACTAAAACCCAACCCTCAAATATAAATTCAAAACACCCTATCATACACTAACTCACTTTTCTCTCTCTAAGGCACAGGGAATTGAACTCAGGGACTTATGCATGTTACACAAACACTCTACTACTGAGCTACATCTCTAGTCCTTCAACCGTTTCCTGTCAGAATTTGTTCTATTTGGTATACAAAACCCTATTTAAGTTCCCCCATTCTACTCTGTCCCCAAAGGCTAACCAACAAGAAAAGAGAGAACTGGAGTTCTGATAAGATAACCACGTGGAAAATCAAAGCCCTATTTAATCAGACACTGAACCTGTCACAAAGCATGTAAAAGTCAGAAGATACAGACCTTTTGAGGACAATTGGAACAGCAATGGAGGGATTCTTCCGCAGACCATCGATGATATCAGCTGCTTTATCAGCATATATCCTCTGGAGTGCTTTTCGATGAATAACTTCTGATGTGCCTCCAAGGGTGTTATCCAAGCGAAATTTGGCTTGTTCCTCAGCAGACAAGCGGGAAAGTTTTTTCTGTATTGCTTCCAGAACCCGGATTGTTGCCAGATTGGTCTCTAAAACTACATCAAGCTTAAAACAAAAACAGAACAAAAGAGGGTGCTCAGGCCTGAAAGCAGAACACAGCAGAGCTGGGAGAATAAGGAGGAGAGCATCAAATTCCTCGGGATAGGAGTCGTGGTTCCTTATACAAGCCACGTAAGACTATCTGTAAAATATCAACAATGGCACCTACTACTTTCATAAGGTTGGTTTCTGGAAGAAATGCCATATACGTAAGTCATAAAGCACATAAATTGATTAGCGGTCATCACTCCTATCAAAACTCCTACCACACACTGTTTAGCACTGCTGACCACAGGCCACAGGGACCTAAGAGGAGGCTATTATACTGATCCATTTCCTTACACTTTTGTTTGTACTGAGACAAAATCTTACTATGGGTGACCTTGAACTTGCTATATGGACCCGACTGGCCTTCAATTAGTGGCAAGTTCTTGCCTCTGCCACCTAAAGGCTGGGATTACAATGTGAACCACTATGTGTGGCCTATGAACTTCTCTTAAATCGCAGAAACCCATTACAAACAGTAAGAATACAATCCAAAAAGACAGTTGTGAGATTAAAGGGTTTAGGAGGGTACTAACTTAAACATGTCTGAAAGATTTAAATATTAAGTTACTGCTTCACATCCAATGGCAACAAATTCAGGATTATCCTTTACTTTTGAAACATCGAAGCATGTAGCCCAGACTGGAGTCCAACTGATTATGCAGCTGACAATGACCATAAATTCTTAAATCCTTCTGCCTTCCCCGCCCCAGGGATTATAGGCATACTCCATTTCCTTCGGCTAATAATGTTCTTCAGCTTGATTAAAAACTTCCCATAGAAGCCAGATGTGGTGGTGCACACATTCATCTCAGGAGGCAGAGGCAGGTGGATCTCTGAGTTCAAGGCTAGCCTAGTCTACAGAGAGTTCTAGGACAGCCAGAAATATGCAGAGAAACCCTGCCTTGCCAAAAATAAATAAATAAATAAATTAGTAACAAATTAAGAAAAAAAATCTTCTTACAGAAATTCACACTTTATACAATTTAGTTTTCTGTAATGACTGACCAGGCCATTAATTCTAGGGGTGTGGTGGTTTGAATGAGGATGGCCCCAATAGGCTCACATATTTAATCCTTAATCCCTGGTTGTGAAACTGTGTGGGAAAGGTAAGGAGGCGTGGTTTTATTAGAGGAGGTGTATCACTAGGGAGTAGACCTCTAGGTTTCAAAAGACTAGTATGATTCTCAAAGTCTTCTCTCTGCCTCCTGGTATGGACCAAGATGTGAGCTCCTAGCTATTCCTTCCCTCTACTACATGGACTCTCACACTCTGAAACTTTAAACCAAGTTAAACTCTAAGTTGTCTTGGTCATAGCATTTTATCACAGTGACAGAACCTAAGTAAGATGGGGAAAAGACAGCAATCACCAGTCAGTGGGGAGACAGCGTATGATTCTTCTGAAGACGGAATTCTGGCAGAGTTACATTGGTAGGAGATCTCTTCCACTGATTTGAAGAAGCAGACCCAGTCAACTCAGTGTAATGTATAAACTAAGTCAGATACATACATGCAAAATACAACTGACTCCCTTTGGTGTGGTATTAGTAAATGTCATCTAAATAATGGAGATTTCTGATCCTAGTTTCAGAAATTCCCTTCCTACAATAGGGGATCTCTACCAGTTGATTCATCCATTCTAGATTTCCCATCCCAGCAACCACCTTTACAATGTAAGTCTTACAGGCATGTACTACTAGGGTCAGCTCTCTTTTTTATTTTTATTTTTTTAAGCTAACTCATACATAGTATTTAAATACCCCTTAATTTCACATCGTTCTTGTGCCCCAAACTTCAAATCACAAAGGAGGATACCTCAAATCGTTCATCTTCACAACGATAAATATGTTCTTCATACTGAGTCTTCTTGGAACTAACAAAAGTGGAGTCTTCAGACCATGATGGGAAGGAAACCCAGGTATCATTTAAAACCTTTGGGTAGCAAAAGAGGAGGAAGAAAAGCTTGTAAAAACTTACTGGTAATTAAGTATTCTCAATAAAAAGACAATGCTACAGAGAGGAAAAAACATTTGGTAAGTGTCCTGACTAGTTTTATGTCAACTTGACAAAAGCTAGAGTTATCTGAAAGGAGGGACCCTCAGTTGAGAAATTGCCTCCATAAAGTCTGGCTGTGGGGCATCTTCTTAATTAGTTATTGATGGGGAGGGCCCAGGCCACTGTGGATGGTTCCATCCCTGGGATGCTGGTCCTGGGTTCTGTAAGAAAGCAGGCTGAGCAAGCCATGAGGAACAAGCCAGTAAGCAGCATTCCTCCATGGCCTCTGCATCAGCTCCTGCCTCCAAATTCCAGCCCTGTGTGAGTTCCTATCCTGACTTCTTTCAGTGATGAACAATGATATGGAAGCATAAGCCAAATAGACTCTTCCCACCCCCACCAAGTTGCTTTGGTCATGGTATTACAGCAGAGCAATAGAAACCCAAACTAGACAGTTTATAAAACATAGAGTAAGGGAAATTCTGGCCTTTCTTGTAAAAGGATTGAGCATAAAAATAAGGACACTTGCCACCAAACCCGAGCCACCTGAGTTTGATCCTTGGAACCCACATGGTAGCAGGAGAGAAGCAACTGACAAGTTGTCTCCGATCTCTACAAGCAGACCACAGCTTATATGTATATACACATATCAAATAAATAAATAAATAAACAAAAACTTTAAAAAAATCCTGGCCCTGGTACTATCACTACCCTCTTTGGAAGAAGCTGAAGAACCAAGGCTGACTCTTACCTCTTTACACAGAGGAGTCCGTCCTGTACACTTGGGCTGCTGGTAACTTTTTGGTAGGGCTCGGTAGCTAGAGCCCAGTCGTTTACAAGAAGCATAGTCTATCTCCATGGCAATGCCTTCTGTAGCTCGTTCCTTTGGAAAGCTTTCCAGATGTACAGACTCCTTATAACCCAGGAAGTTTTTAAACCAATTAAACAATTCAGGAAATTTCCTGAAGAATCAAACCAAAAGCTAGTAAGCAATTCAAGGCAGGATGCAGTTATTATAAGGAACAACATTACAATTCATGGTTGGTACACAACTCTGCTACCACAGACAATTATTTTCTACCTGAGAGGCATCCTTTAACCAGTTAGGTTCCATTTTCCTTATATAATACTCTCCAACAAGACAATAAGAAGCTAAGAAGCCATTCTTTGGCTCAAGAATATTGCTTCATTATTCACATAATCCTCAGCATGGTAAATACAATCAAGACTCCACAGCCCTGGGAGATCGGTGTCTATAAACATCAGTGCTGGTCAGATAGTCAAGAGACCATGAGTGCACCATCATAGCTGACACATTGTGAACACTTTTCTTGGAGACAGGAGCTCTCTATGTAGCCCAGGCCATTCTGAACTCACCTGCCTCTGCCTCCCTGGTACTGGGATTTAAAGGCATGTGCTACCACACCAAGTTCTACCTGTTTTCCCATCCTGAAAGTTATACTAGAAGACTTCTCAGGCCCCCTGACACTGTCATCTGTGACAACTCAATCACCTTTGTCTATAACTTACCCTTACAGTCTCTGCATCGTCATAGCCCAAGTACTAGGGCTACACTCCTCGCTTCACTTACCCCAGAAAAGGAGAGACTAGTTGTACAAGCTCAGCCCGAGAGATCACCTCCTGGTTAAAGATAACAAGACAGCGCAGAAAGTTTTCATAGGCCTCCGCACTCCGAAGAGCCTTTCGGACCTTATGGAAACAAGAGAAGAAAAATGGTTACAAGGAGACTCAGGGTCATTAATTTGTTTTGTTTTGTTTTTTGAAACAGGCTTTCTCTATGTAGCTTTGGCACCTTTCCTAGAACTCACTCTGTAGCCTGGGCTGGCTCTATCTCCCAAGTGCTGGGATTAAAGGTCTGCGCCACCACCACCTGGCCCAATATTTTTTAATAGGGTAAATTTAATCTGATATTTACTAAGGAATCATTGTTATTTTGTTTAGATACGATCAAAGAAATCACCTTAAAAAGAAAAAACTAATAGCCGGGCAGTGGTGGCACAAGCCTTTAATCCCAGCACTTGGGAGGCAGAGCCAGGTGGATCTCTGTGAGTTGAGGCCAGCCTAGTCTACAGAGCAAGATCTAGGACAGGCACCAAAGCTACACAGAGAAACCCTGTCTGGGGGGGGGGGGGGGGATATGGAGAGATGGCTCAGAGTTAAAAGCACCGGCTGCTCTTCCAGAGGTCCTGAGTTCAATTCCCAGCAACCACATGGTGGCTCACAACCATCTGTAATGAGATCCGGTGCCCTCTTCTGGCCTGCAGGCATACATGCAGGCAGAACACTGTGTACAAAATAAATGAATAAATCTTAAAAAAAAAAAAAAAAAACAAAACAAAAAAAAACAACTAAGATACTGTCATCTATCTCTAAACAATCTAAAATGGATACGAATACATGTGGAACAAATACACAGACCCTGCAGGTGATGAACTACAGATGCTGGATGGTAAAGCACAAAGGATCATTTTACCAGTCTCTTTCGTTTTACATGCATTTAGAATTTTCTATAATTAAAACATGGATCATGCATTACACCTTCTCATATGCTTGCTACTCCAGACTGTGTCAGTTACCTAAGCTTCTGTAGCCCATCTTAATAGATATTTACAGGAATCTTTGTCAACACTGTTTTCATATCCTGTTCCTAAAATCTTGGTTGTTTTGTGTCAGGCACGATGTCATGTAGCAGAGGCAGACCTTAAACTTGCTATATATAACTAAGGATAGTCTTTAAACTCTGGATCTTCCTCCTGAATGTTTGGAATCGCAGCATTCTTGAGGCAGAGGCAGCAGGCATCACACCAAAAAACAAAATGGGCTGAGAGGGGGCTAGAAATATGGCTTAGTGGTTAAAAGGGCTTCCCATTCTTTCAGAGGACCCAGGGTTGGGCGCCAACTAACATGAAGTAGTTTATAGCCACACCTACATACACATGGCATATGGGAGTTCATAAAGGCACTCATACATACACCTAATAATTAAATCTTAAACCAACAACAGCCTGAGGCTATGGCTCAATCAAATAGAGTTTGGATTCCCAGCACCCACATAAAACCCTAGGCACAGCAGTACAAACTGTAAGCCCAGCTCCCAAGAAGTCAAGAAAGGAAGACCCCTGAGGCTTACAGACATGCCAGTGTAGCCAATCAGTGAGCTCTAGGTTCAATGAGTCCTTTTCTCCAAAAATAAGGTAGAGAAGCAACTGAAGACTGCTGTGGGATGGTCTGTATGTCAAGTGTGTTGCTGATTGGTCAATGAATAAATCACTGATTGGCCATTGGCTAGGCAGGAAGTATAGGCGGGACAAGGAGGAGAAGAATTCTGGGAAGTGGAAGGCCGAGTCAGAGAGACACTGCCAGCCGCCACGATGACAAACAGCATGTGAAGATGCCGGTAAGCCAGGAGCCATGTGGCAAGGTATAGATTTATGGAAATGGATTAATTTAAGCTGTAAGAACAGTTAGCAAGAAGTCTGCCACGGCCATACAGTTTGTAACCAATATAAGTCTCTGTGTTTACTTGGTTGGGTCTGAGTGGCCGTGGGACTGGCAGGTGAGAGAGATTTGTCCTGACTGTGGGCCAGGCAGGAAAACTCTAGCTACAGAAGATGATATCCAGCATTGACCTTTGACCTCCACACATAAATATGCACACACCTAGACCTAGACATACACACACACACACACACACACACACACACACACAGAGACACACCCACAAACCCCATACAAGGGGCTGAGAAATGGTTCAATAAATAAAGCATTTGCCATGCAAGTTTGAGGACAGAGTTGGGATCTGCTGACCACATAAAGCTGTAATTCCAACACACCTACAGTGAGACAGGAGGCAGAGATAGGAGGTTCCCTAGAACTCCAGGGCCAGCTACCTTAAGCTGTCAGTGGTGCGCAACAAAAAACCCTGCCTCGCCGGGCGGTGGTGGTGCACGCCTTTAATCCCAGCACTCGGGAGGCAGAGCCAGGAGGATCTCTATGAGTTCGAGGCCAGCCTGGACTACCAAGTGAGTTCCAGGAAAGGCGCAAAGCTACACAGAGAAACCATGTCTCGAAAAATCCAAAAAAAAAAAAAAAACCCTGCCTCAAGTAAGGTGAAAGACTAGGACAGACACCTATGTTTTGATGCACACATACCAACATTCTCATTCTCATTCTCTCTCTCTCTCTCTCTCTCTCTCTCTCTCTCTCTCTCTCTCTCTCACACACACACACACACACACACACACACACACACACACACACACACACACACGTAGGCTATTATCCTACTTAAAGAATTGAAAACTAACATTTTAAAGTCTCAAAAATGTAAACCATTTAGCAGCTGACAGAAAGCTGAGGCAGCTGTTAGCACTGCGGACCTGCAGGCCCAGGACAGATTGCCTCCTCCTATGTAGAAGGAGGCACAGAACATGCTCGACACAGATCAGACTGGAATTCACAGATGTACAATGCTCTGATATGAAAGGCTTTTTATTAAAAAAAGGTTTGAGGCAGGATTTCACTGTATAGCCTAGGCTGGCTGATAACTTGTGGCAAGTCTCCTGCCTCTGTCTCTCACGTGCTAGGATTACAAGTGTATACCACTACAATTAAGTTCTGAAATAGGAACTTTTAATGCTATAGATTAAAGAAGATTATACTTTTTGTACTATATGCCAGTTATTTGCTTTAAATTTATCAGCTTTTAAACCTATGAAAAAAATAGACGTCTAACGAACCCTAATCATAGTCATTCAACCTAGATGATAAACACATTTAAATTTTGTGTCATCTATTAACCATTTTTTCTTCAATGAATTTAAAAGAAACGTCAAGACAGTCATTATATACATACTTTTAATTATATATATGTATATATGCATACCCATACCTACAAAAATGTACTCCTAATACCATTATCCTTCATCAGGAGAGCTCCTCAAGGCACAGAGACAGACAGATATCTGGAGCTATCATTAATGCAGCCATTAAATAATTTGTTTTCTGTAAACACCCAGAGGTACAAGATAGGATCCTGTGAGAGGTCTATCAGCTGCTCACTTGACTGATGGAAACTGCTTGCTAATCATCAACTCGGCTCCAAAGACAGAATCCAATACACAAGTACAGTCAAACTAAAAGAGCATTCATGGTGTCCACCAGAAATTTCAATTCTTAGCTTTTGCATAAAAACACCTACAGATCTTTGAAAATATTCAAATAGTCAAGAATTCTCAAGCTAGGCATGGTAGTATATGCCTACAGCCTATTTGGGAAGTAGAGGAAGAACAGTAGTAGTTAAAAGTCATCCTTGGTTTCAGAGCAAGTTTGAGGCAAATCTGGGTGACAAGAGTCTGTCTCAAAACATGCAAAAGGAAATTCTCACTCCTGTACCACCAGGAAGTGTCAGAACAACTGGATTATAAGTCACCTAAGGCACTGCAGCTCCAATGCAGAGAAGATGCCTAGTGTCTAAGGCACTGATCTCCATGACCAGTACCACTAATAAAAGAAAAAAAGGGCATGAGAGCATATACCCTTATTCTTAGCACTAGGGAGGCAAAGGCAGCCATAATTCTATGAATTTGAGGTCATCCTGATCTACACAGTAAGTCCCAGGCCAGCTAAGGCTACATAGAGAGATGTAGTAAGATGCCTCCCAAAAAAAAGATAAAAGAAGAAATAAAGAACTATAGGTGGACTACATGTGGTGGCACTTGGGTGGCCAAAGGAGGATCAGGAACTGAAGGCCAACCTAGGCTACAAGGTGAGTTCAAGACCAACCTAGTTACATACAGAAAGATTCTGCCCCCAAACAAAACAAACTCAAAGGATTAAATAAAAACAATGCCAAAAAATCTTAATCAGTTGACACTTCCGAAACAAAACCTTGGGGATTAGATGACTGTCCTTAACTAACATCAAATGTTACCCATTACTCACCTTATCAAAAAATAACGACTCAGTCCCAACACCATGCTTGCTGGCATCTGCCATTGAAGACTCCTTTAGACTAAGCAGTTTGGGTTTTTTCTGGAATTAAAAAAAGAAGAAATAAAGAAAACAAAAACAAACAGCACAGAATGAATTTAATTTTGCTAAAATGGTTCTACTACTGCTAATAACTTAGAACAAAGGAGAATTCAGTCACACATTTCTATCACAACCTTTTCTTCTACTTTAGTTTCCTTGACAATTTCTTTCTTCATCCAAGGCTTACAGATCACTCTATTCACAGACGTTCCCTCCTATGACCAATGTTTAGAATTAGCATCCTTCCCTTTTTATGCTGGCTTTAATCTCATGATATTCCTGCCTCGGCTCCTTTCAGAAAATCCTACTGGCATTTGCAAGCATAACTTAAGCCTGGCTTGTGAAGGTCAGAGGTAAGTTTAAAGATTCTATTGGAGCCATCTGCTGTTCTAAGTAAGACTTTGTGGTTCTGGACGGATGAGGCTGAAGAATCAGCGGTGATTAAAAGACCAGCACCAGCCAGGCATGGTGGTGCATGCCTTTAATCCCAGCACTTGTGAAGCAGAGGTAGGTGGATCTCTGTGAGTTCGAGGCCAGCCTGGTCTACAAAGAAAGTTCCAGGATAGCCAGGGCTATACAGAGAAACTCTGTCTAGGGAAAAAAAAAAAAGGAGGCGGGGAGAAAAGGAGGGAAAGAGGGAGAGGGAGAAAGGGAGAGAGGGAGAGAAGAGAGACCCCAGCACTGTTAAAGTGAAACCTCTGCATTGCTGGCACAACTGATGCTGACCAGCTGGAGCTGAGAAATGAGTAGCAATTAAGAAGAGACCATCACTGAGGTTGTATCTTCTGGGAAGCGTTCTCTGAGAGCACACAAAACCTGCCAGAGGTGGCCAAGGTCATACCTCGAAGTGGCAGTCAAACTTGGTCATGTGTAAAAGTCTCCCAGGTGTTACTAGTTTTGAAGGCATGAAAGAGCCATAGAGAGCAGTTGAGGCTTGGTACTGGAAGAGGCAAGGAGAAACCACCGGTGAAGGTGCAGCTGAGTAGCAACTGAAGCCCCAAGATAGGAGTCATGCAGGGAAGTTGAAGTCAGCAGCATGAAGAGCCCCGGAGAGGCTATTGGTGAAAGGGCAGCCTGGTTTCATTACAAGACCCAAGCACTCTGGAGGTGCGAGCGAGAGCCATGGGAGGACTGCTGAGACCAGCAGCAGTGGAGTGGAGCCAGCCCAGTCTGGAGGACAACCCGTGTGCGCAGCAGTGGTCGGAGCCAGAAGACTGCAAGTGGATCTCAGACATTGGACACACTTATTTAAGCAGCTAGTTTGGTTTGCTTTATTCAGACTGTGACTGTGCCCTCTTAAAGAAAGGATTTAGCTCATTTTTGATTTTACAGGAGCAAATAATTGAGAGACTCTGAACTTTGAAGGGGATTTCAGGTTTTTAAGAGACTGAATATTTTAAAGAGACTGAACTTTTGATGTGTTTGAATTTGTAGAGACTGTGGGACTTTCAAAGTTATTTATGTTTTATTATAATCTGATACTAATATTAATAAACCATTTTGGGGACAAATGAAAAAGAAAAGGTTCTACTTGAAAAATGATGTGTTTTTGTGTCAGAGTGACAAAGGGTCAGTTGTGCTAGCCAGTTTCATATCAACTTGACACAAGGTAGAGTCATGTGAGAGGAGGGAACCTCTAAGATCAGGCTGTAGGCAGGTGTAGGGCAATTCTTAATTAGTGAAGTGGGAGGGTGCAGCCCATACCTTGTGGGCTCTATCAAGCAGGCTTAGCAAGCCATGAGAACCTGTAAACACTATTCCTGACCTCTGCATCAGCTCCTATTTTCCAGGTTCCTGCTAGAGTTCCTGCTCACTTCCTTCCATCATGAACAATGATGTGGAAATGTAAACAAAATAAACCCTTTCTCCCCAAGCTGCTTCTGGTCAGTATTTTATCACGGCAATAATCACACTAACCAATACACTTTCCCAGAGCCAGATGTATCTTTATATACTTTAATATATATATATAACATATATATATATAATATATATAATATACTTTAATATATATATCTTTAATACCACACTAACGGCTTCCAGGCTGGCATAAACTATCTGGAGTTTAAAAAAAAAATTTTAACCTACACTACTACTTCAACTTAAAAATTCATAGAAAAAAAACAATCAGTTCATTGTCTAGTAGACAGCATAACCATCTTATCAGCATATCCATTCACACTAATACTGTTACGTTGTGGTTTTTGAGTGTTACTCTGTCCCCTGGCTGACCTCAAACTCAAGAGGCCCAGCTGCTCCTTTGCTGCCCTGCCCACCTCAGTGTTGACAGTACAGGTGTCGCTGCAATGCCTAGGCAGACTAATCATTTAAAATTGAAAGCAAGGCCGTGATGACAAATACCTTTAAATCACAGCGCTTGGGAGGTAAGAGGCAGGCTGATCTCTGTGAGTTCAAAGGCAGCCTGGTCTACAAAGCCAAGGCTAAGTCAAAATTCCAGGACAGCCAAGGCTATACAGAAAAATCTTGTATCAAAAAATTGACTTTTTTTTTTAAAAGATTTATTTATTTATTATGTATACAGTATTCTGCCTACAATGTAGGCTTGCAGGCCAGAAGAGGGCACCAGATCTCATTACGGATGGTTGTGAGCCACCATGCGGTTGCTGGGAATTGAACTCAGGACCTCTGGAAGAACAGCCAGTGCTCTTAACCTCTGAGCCATCTCTCCAGCCCCGAAAAATTGACTTTTAAAACTCCTCCACTACCTACCTGTGAGGAAACTACACCAACTCTGAGCAGCTCCTGTCCCTCTGAGGTGTCAGAACTAAGCACTAACATACTGTTTCTACCTGTGGATTACCAGGTGTAAAGGAAACAGACCTCAGAGAGCTCTTAGCTATTTGCTGACTCCTGCAATCCATGGTACTTTTTGAAGTTAAAAAACAAACACCAAACCATTACTATACTCAACCTGATTCCAAAACCGAAGAGAAACCACTGCAAGCACCAAACCAATCTTTCAGAATGTGTCAGCCCTTGGGGCCACTGGACACCCACCCCCTTCCACTGTCTTTTCTTCTTTAACCAAATTCAATAGACACCTATACTCCAGATTCCCAGAGAAATTCAACACTGAATACATACAGCTTCCTTCTTATCACAGACACACTCAGAGAGAGCAAGCGGGCTTTCTACTGACAGACCATTAGTGTCTACTGGAGTGTGAGTTATGAACAGGAGCTTAAGATTGCCCACTAGTACAGCCCAGATTGCTTTCCTTAAAGACTAAGGTAATATAAGGAAGATCTGTCGACCCAAAAAGAACCAGGGGTAGGAGACCCCTAGCCAAAGTGACTGAACAAAGCCTCTGCATCACAAGGGCACTACACTCACAAGAGTTGAGTTTCCTCAGAGACCATGCATTTATTTATGATTTATCAGTTTAAAAATATTCTTCCTGTAACACAAGGTAAGTTTAACACATCAAATCGTGAGAAAAATTCGGAAGTCTCGGTAACGAAGTAAGAGCCGAAGCTCATAGCAAAGAGGAGAGAATACAGGAAAACACACACACACACACTGACCCACACAGTGAGTGCTCTTCCCGCCTGCCTTGGCAAAGCCGCTAAGAAGCTCTGTCGGGCGTTTCTGTGACCTACGCTACCTTGCTCTGGATATACAGGTTCCAACCCCCTTGCCTTCTGTCTGTCTACTCTCACCTTCACTGGTGGTGTGGCTCCCGTTCCAGAGTGTCTGCGGATCTGGCAACCATTCTGGCTGGGCCTCTGTGGCTTGTTGTTCAGTTGGGGCTTCTTCACAGTGCCTCCATGATCATTTCTCACAGAATCAACCTTCTCAGCAGTTGTTTTGCTTAAAAGCTGATTAAGACATACAAGATATCAGTACTCTAATCAAAGTGTCATCTAAAAAGTCCCCTGTAACTGTAGCTTTCAAACTTGTGGTGATAATCTTAAATAATGTAGTTTGTCTAACTGAAACTTACCACCGAGCTGTTGGCGTCCGGCAAGAACTGTCCAAACTCAGATAACAGATCCTCCTGGTTTTTGAAGAGACGAGCCACCTGGGCATACACTTCCTGCTCAGTCAAAGCTGGAGTATAGTTTCCTCCAGCTTCCTTGGCATTCCGCTGTTCTTTCTGAAGAATGACAGAGGGGACAGATGATACATACTAAGGGAGCTACTCTTCTGAATCCTACAACACACACAGAACAATTATTTTCTGAAATGTTTGGTATGGCTAACCTATGTTATCTACTTAAAATACATTAAAAGAAGTATCTAATTACTGTTTTGAGAGCAGTCTTTTGAGAAGACAACGTTGAATGACAGGTATTTATAAAACTAAGAACATGTGAATGCTCCTTTAATTAAAATGATAAAACATTAGAAAACTTTGTGCATGTTCTCTTGTAAATTAATCATGAAATCAAATTACCCTCAGAAACTTCCACTACGAAACAAGCATCCTCTTAACAAGCTAGTGACCTTAAAAAATCCTGACAAGACGTTACAGGGCAAGCAAAGCAGGCAAGTAAACCTGGCATCATAAGTACACATTACATTTTAACCAGTTACTATTCTCAGTAAGAATCACTGGGCACAATGGATATTCTCAGATTAGATACTCTCTGGGGGTGGCAGTTATGTAAGTAGAGCCTAATTTGACCATGACAAAGACAAACATTTTTGAGCTGGGTGTGCTGGCAACCGGCACCCCCATCTACTCAGGAGGCTGAGGCAAGAGGATCACCAGAGCCCAGGATTACAAGACCTGCTTAAAAAGGGATAAATGAGTAACCCTCTTACCTGGTATGTGTGTAAAATCTCCAAAAATGCTTTGTAGATGTCTGGTTGGCCCTGGAATCTGTTCTTGATCTTATTAACATAGTTGATGGCATGATTAAACTCCACAGGTTGATTGTTCTGCAAAGATGGGGCCGTTCCCAAGGAGATTGTCACTGGTGTGTGAGGCTGGACCGGTGGAGAACGTGGGGATGCATATGGTGGGAGTGGGGGAGTCTGCTGACTGGCTGGAGTATGTGCTTGTAGTTGGGAAGGCTAAAAAGAAAAAAGTCTTTATTTTCCTCAAGAGCACAGGTGGTATGACACTGGGGAAGAAAATTCAAACCCAAAAAACCAAAACAAACCAAAACAAAAACCTAAAGTATCTGATCAACCCGTATCCTTTATTTACTCATTTAAGCCATTAAGTACTACTTTCAAGTCAAGTCATTTTGGTTCAATTCAAATCATATATATACAACAGGATAGGAGAAAGTTCTCACATTCTGACACTATCTCAACATCAAATTTCCTGAATACAACTTCAAAAAAGGAGTCATTTCTAATTATAGGGATAAATTTTTCATATGCAATTTTTAAGTTCACTAGCTTAACAGGTGCAAATTAAAAAGAAAAACTCATCCTACATAGTTTTTTTTTTTTTTTTTTTTTTTTTTGGATTTTCGAGACAGGGTTTCTCTGTGTAGCTTTGGAGCCTGTCCTAGAACTCACTCTGTAGCCCAGGCTGGCCTCAAACTCACAAAGATCTGCTTCTGCCTCCTGAGTGCTGGGGATTAAAGGCATGCGCCACCACAGCCTGGCTTATCCTACATAGTTTTTTAATGTCAAGAATAACAACTCAATTGTTCCTGTAATCCAACATGAAATGTTTCTAGACCAGCTCTGTTCAATAGGACAGAAATGATAGAATCTTCTTTCTTTGTGCCATTAGATACAAGAGTCACCAGCTACATGGTGATTCTTGAGAACATGAAATTTGGCTAGCATAACTAAAATGTTGAATTTGCTTGAACTAAAATTCAATCCTATACAGCTGGTGACTATTCTAACACATCTAGATCAAGAATATCTTCCACTTATTGTGGTTATCAGTTGATTTGGCAAACGGAGTAACTTGATTGTGTTTTTTTAGACGGTATTTTATACAACTTGGGATATCCTCAAATTCCTTATCCTTCTGCCTCTACCTTCCACATACTTAGATTTACAGAGATGTCATCATGCCCAGCTCTGCAACAATGTAAATGGAAATCATGTAAGAAAGAGACTAATTTGACCATGAGAAAAACAATCACTTCTGAGCTAGGTGTGTTGGCAGCACCTATAGTCCCAGTTACTCAGGACCACCAAAGCCCAGGATTATTAGACCAGCCTGGGCAACATAGAAAACCCAAGTCAAAAAACAAAGCAACCCCCCCCCACACACACACACAGAAAACCCAAGTCAAAAAACAAAGCAAACCATACACACACACACACACACACACACCCCCTTTTCCTACTTGTGGTGTCAAAGGACTACTACAAAGCCAGGTCAGAGGCTAGCTAAACAGAAGCTGAGGACAGGGTCCTACAATCTGCTGGCATGATAACTTAGGTGAGTATCTAAATAATGCAGTATATAAACATGAACCATGGATTGGGGTGAGATGTCAACATCTTCTCTGATGACATCGTGGTTGCAACTTACATATCTGAGTCTCATATAGAGGAATGTCTGAGAAGTACTTTCTAGGGGATTCAGTGTCTGCCCACAACTCACCTTGCTGACTTTGGCAGGTGTGGGCTGAGGAGCTGGCTGAGCAGGAGCTGGAGCTGACTGGGCTGAAGGTTGGGAAGGATGTGGAGGTGGTGGCTGAGGCTGGGGCTGGATGCCATGGGTGGGGATCTGATGAACCTGCCCAGGAGTTGTCACGTTCACCATATCATTAGTCTGCACCTCAATTTTGTAGCCAGGAGGCAAGAAGGTATTGAAGCCCATAATCAGATCAGGGTGGCCTTTAAATAACTGGGATACACGGCTAATCACGCCTGGAGTATCAATGCTGACAAAAACAAAGAGGAAAGTGATTAAAGGCAAGCGTGACAAAAAAATCTAGAGAAAACTAACTTCTCACTATGTTTCCTCTAAACAGAAAGCCTAATAATCAAGGCCAAAGAATTCCAATTCCAAAGCCATTTAGCTTTAGAGCTATAGGCTTGGTCACAATTTTATATTCATGGGAATAAGTCTATCAAACAGTTGTACAGACAGCACACCTAAAACTGTAATTCCCAAGCCAGACCCAACCTTTAGTATACCAGTATGAATTTAACGGGCTTGTGTCTTGTGAGCCATGCCAGAGAATTAAAAAAAATAGCCTAAGTCCTCTACAATTTCCATCATGAAACCAAAATACAGTGATGCACAGCTGTAGCCTGAGGCAATAAGATTGCTCAAAGTTCAAAGCCACCCTGAGCTACATACAGCAAGACTCTAGTCTCAAAAGCATTCCCCCAATAAAAATAATAATCTATAAAAAGGAAGTAATTGTGTATATATATTCCCTCTAAAAACATGCCAGGCATAAACTTAAATGCAGTCACAGAAATTTTTTACCTCTGCGATTTAAATTCCTTCATGATATCAAGGAAATCATTGTAGACCTGAGGCTGACTACCAAACTGCAGCTTCACCTGGTCAAGATAGGACAGGGCATCCTCCACCTGAGGCAGGGATACATTTCAAAGATATGAGAAGTCAAAACTTTTAACAACAGATCATCCATACTCAAATCAAGACAATAAGTGAATTATATATCAAGTACTAGAAATTAGTATGAACACTTAAAATATGATTCAAATTTAAAACAAAGATCAACTCAAAATCTGTACCCTTGCCTTAGATAATTCTGTAGGGAGTGATCAGTGACTAATAATTATATTACCATCTATTCACTTAGCCATTTCATAAGTACTTGCTAAGATACAATGCAGGTGTTAAAGATTCAATCACAAGTTAAAACTATAACTCCATAGAAATTTGTTCATAGCTAGTGTAAATCCTAACACAGTGGGTATAAAATAATTACTAAAAGCCATAATAGCACAGGGAAACAGCATCACTTTCTCCTTCAAAGGGAGGGAAATCCAAGAGGTGATTTATAAACTGAAACCTAAAGACAAGTAAATATTAGCAACGTGAGGTCCTGAGAAGAAGGCAGAAACAGCAGCAAGGGTATAATCTCATGCAGTCCATCTGCAAAATCCAGTTCAGTTTGGCTAAAAGTTAAGCATTAGTAGGAAGAATAAACATGAGAAAGCAACAGGTTCTGGATCTTGAAGGAACCTAATCTTGCAAAAATCAACTTTGATATTTATCTTCTTCATTTTCATGTATTTCAGTTGACATGACCACAGTATAGAGTAAAAGAAGGTATGAATGGAGCTGTAAAGATGGCACAATGGAAAAAATGTTCTCTGTGTAAGCATGAGGACCCGAGATTGAATCCCCAGAACATACACAAAAGTTGGCCACATTAGCATATGTCTGTAAGCCCAGTACAAGGGTTATAGGTAGTACTTGGACACAGGAGCTCACTGGCACTCTGGCGGAAATGAGGAGATCCTGGTTCAGTGAGGGACTGCCTCAAAAAACAAGATGGAAAGAGATATAGAAGATACCCAATAATCAACCTCAGGCCTACACACACGAATAGGTGCATACCCCCTACCCGACACACACACAAATACACAGACACAGACACACACACACAACCACATACACAGAAAACTAGGAAAGGAAAGGGGAACGAGGAAAGGGGGAAGGGAAGGGAGCACAGTTGTGCTCTGGGGATAATTGTAACTGATGTGAGAATGGCTTGATTACAGTGTGGATTTGAGGACGAACTGAGTAAGAGAGACAAGGGAAAGTGAGCACTCAAAAGTGATCTACCACTAACAGGAAGAAGTCTCAAGGGCTAGAAACAGATGAGTGCATCTTAGGATAATGTTATAATTACTCTGAGATAATATTTTAAATTGTACAAAAATTCAGGATTTAGGCAAGTTTAGGAAATAATATCTGATTTGGTATAAGCTACGATTTTTGATGTACCATGAAACAAAATGTTGATGTTCAAATAAACCATTAAGTGATGCTATAGTATGAATGTCCTCTAAAACTCGAGTGTGTAATCTTTTTAGTTTTCATTTTGTATTACTGGGAATCTACGGGCTCCTGTATGCTAGGTAAGTGCTCCACCACTAAGCTATGGCCATAGCTCATGCCCTCTTTTAGCGGGTGGAGGGTTCATCCTAAGGATCCTAAGCACTCTGTCACTTACCTATACACTTCCTAGCACCAAATTAAAGATCAGGGTTTTTTTTTCCCCCATGCTGTGCTAGCAATTGAAGCCAGGAATTTGAACATACTAAGCAAGAGCTCTACCAGTGAGCTACACCCCGAGTCTACGACAAAAGCTGACTCAACTCTTCTCTTTCTGACAGTACTCATGCGTGCTCATGTACATGCGTGCTCATGTACATGCGTGTGGGACCAGAAGACAGCCTCAGGTCCTCCCTCAGGTACCATCTATCTTCGAGAGCCAGGGTCTCTCACCATCCTGGAAGTCCCCAAGGAGGCTAGGCTGGCTACTGAACCTCAAGGATTTGCCTATGTCTGTCTTCCCAGGAATCACAAGCACACACCAGCACACCTCGCTTTTGAAGGTGGAGTCTGTGGATCCAACTCACTTCATCAGGCGGTCTATACCCTCAGCTTACTTCCTGAGGAATTCGACGGGCCCTTAGAAGACAGATACATAATGAGGACAGTGACTTGGCAGAACTGGAGACTTATGTTGATGTTTGGGGCCTGTACTTTCTGCCACAAGAGGACAATGTTTTGTTGTGGGTACTTTTGTTGTTGTAATTTTTTTTTTTTTTTAAATCAAGGTTTTACTATGTAACCCTGGCTGGCCTGGAGCTTGGAATGTAGTGGTTGGCTTTGAACTCAGATATCCACCTGCCTCTGCCTCCACGTGCTGGGATTAAAGGCATCACAACCAATTTCTGCTTCTAAACACCCTCTGTCTTTATGTTTGTCTCTGTCTCTCTGTGGCTGTCTAAATGAGAATGACCTCCATAGGCTCATGTTTGAATGCTTGGTCCCCAGATAAGGGACTGACTGTTTGGGAAACATTAGAAGGTGTGGCCTTGTTGGAGTAGGTGTGTCATTAGGGATAAACTGAGGTTTCAAAAGCCCAGGTAAGGCCCAGTCTGTCTGTTATCGTCATCTCCCCCCTCTCACATCTGTGAATCAGATGTGAGCTATTAGCTACTTCTCCAGCACCATTCCTGCCGGCCACCATGATGATCTCTGACTAACCCTCGGAAAGCTTAAGCAAGCCCCCAATTATAAATTGCTTTGATCAGTGTCTCTTCATAGCAACAGTAACTAACACAACAGAACTGTAACTAAGTAAGACACATACATATAAATAAAAGAACTGACCCCCAAAATGGCAGGTAAGGGCTGGGACTAGAGTTCACTGGTAGAGGACTTGCCTGAACATGTGTGAGGCCCTGGGGTCCAGTACTGTCAGGAAAAAAGGCAAGAAACAAGCTGCGAGTTTGAGGCCAGCCTGGTCTACAGAGTGAGTTCTGGGACAGCCAGCGCTACATAGAGAAACCCTGTCTCAAAAAAACTAAATATATATTTTTATTTAAATTAATTTTAAAAAAAGGCAAGCAAAGTGAGAATATGTAGTTAAGTTATATGGAGACACAAAAACCATTCCCTTCTCATGAAAAAGAATATTCAAGGGTGTTGAGATGGTTCAGCAGGTAAAGGCACCTGTCACCAAGTCGGACAACCTGAGTTCAATTCCTGGGACCCACACAGTATAAAAAGAGAACCGACCCCCAGAAGTTGTTCTCTGACCTTCAAGATGAAGGTATAGGGTGCTAGTTTACACCCAAACACACACACACACACACACACACACACTCTCTCACGCGGAGAACTGGTACACAGAAGCCCCCCAGCTCCAGGGAAGTAGATGCAGACAGCAGACAAGTCAGAGTAACCCTCAATCAGTTTCCAGGCCAGCCCGAGTCAAGACTCTGCCTCAACCCACACTTCCCCAAAGAAAAGTCAACAAATTATATTTAGAAATCCTATTAATCAAAAAAAAAAAAAAGAAAAAAAAGAAAAAAAGAAAAAAAAAGAAAAGAAATCCTATCAATCTAGACCTTTTAACTATAAAAAAAAAGAAAATCCCAACTCTACCCAAAATTTACTGTATAATCCCAATCCAAGACTCTATTCTGCTGGTTTTCTTAAGAAAAAAAAACAAAAAAACAAAAAAAAAAAAACAAAGCCTAGTTCATCTGCTTTCATGCACAACTTCCTAGAAGGAGGAAAGTGAAGGGCTAACTGGAAAAGGCTCCAGCAATAAGCCCAGCACTGAGACACACACCTATAATCCCAGCAGGAGCCAAGAGCATCTCAAATTCAAGGGCACTCTCACCTACATAGTGAGACTATCTCAAAGCTCCCACTTCTACCCAAAAAGGGCTCTATTTTTTGTTAAAGGACCAATCTATAATTTTTTTTAGACTATTAAGACATCCTTTACAGAACAGAGTCCTTAAATTTTTGTTCCCAGAACTCAGTAAAATGCTAAGCTCACAGTAGTTCCTCATTTTGCAACACAGCCACCACTCTGTAAACAGAATGTCGTGGAATATTACTTTAACTATGTAAAGATGTGCTGCATTTGTTTATGTTGCACTTGTTAAATTATGTAAAGATGTGTTGCCATTTCACTGTGCCTGCCTAAGGCACCTGACTGGTCTAATAAAAAGCTGAACAGCCAATAGCTAGGCAGTAGAGGGACAGGTGCGGCTGGAGGGCACACACAACAAGTAGGAGGAGGAATCTAGGCTGAAGAGAGGAGGGAGAGAATGAGGGAGAAAGAGAGAGAGAGAGATCTGGGGCCAGGCAGCAGCCAGACATGGAGGAAGCAGGGAAGTAGGACATACAGAATGAAAGGTAAAAAGCCCAGAGGCAAAACATAGATGAAGAGTAACAGGTTAAAATAAGTTATAAGAGTTGGTAGGAGAAACCTAAACTAAGGCCAAACATCCATAGCCAATAGTAAGTCCCCGTATCATGACTTAGGAACTGGTTGGTGGCCCAGAAGAAAGTGAAAATATCTGAAGAACACCAAATTTTCCCAAACGGCACAAATAACTTGTACTCTTCACAGACTATTCCTTAGTAAACTCTGAAATTACTTAAACCAAGATAGTCATCAAATTTCATAAAATTCCTCTATATTGTTAACCTTTGCTCTTCATTATGCTATTTGCATAGTCTAAATCCTATCATACTAAATTGTTTTTTCCTCTACATACATATTTATAAAATCTGACTTATAAATTAGTAACGATAACTTTTCTTCCATCTTACCATCCTCAGCATAACTTTTCTTCTCTTACCAAGTTGAGAACCGTCACATTTTCACTTTAAAGGAAGCACTTTATGGCTTCTCTTCTGGATATTCCAATTGTGAGTATCATTATTCTTGTATTTGGAGAACTATGATCTGATTTTCTAAGTCACTAACAGGCAGGATACATAATGAGTATGCTGAGTAAAAAGGATAATTTATATCCCACTTGGGATGGGGGGGGGGGAACAGTATGAACTTTCACCAAAATATTATTCATGATGACACAGTATTTAAAATTTATATATTGCTTATTCTGGAAATTTTTATTTCAAATTTTCAACCAGTTAACTGTGGGTAAGTGAAATACCAGAAAGCAAGTTTTCAGGTAAGAAGGAGAATACTAAATTAGGGAAAACAAAGAGCAGACATTTTGACACACAGATGCACTCTGGGGCATATTGTTCACTCCCACATGTAAGCCACCAGATAGAATTAGGCTATTACAACCAAATGAAGATAAAACATCTCATCACCTCAATTTTAATTTACATTTTTTGCACTTGGTTTCAAACTGATTTACCTAAGTATAAATAAGTAAAGCTGGAAATTAAGCAATTGCTACAAAAATCAAGCACAAAACACCCCAAAGTAAAAAAGGACAAAACGGTTAGCCGGGCATACAGGCTTCAACCAATTCTCCACAAATACCTCATGCATTTCAAAGCACCACAACGTATTCAGCAGGACATATGAAAATACTGACACTTCATTCACAATTATTTTCCCCAAACTTTATTATAAAACATGCCTCAAAAGCAGCATGTTTTACTAAGCACAGATTTAAAGATGCCCACAATTTCAGCTGTTCAGAGCAAGAATAAGATTAAATTCAAACTATATTATGGTGCTAATTTGCTATTCCCAAATTGGGCTGCTCCCAGATTTGTGTGTACTCAATAAAAATTGTATACACTAAGAACTCATACTTCATTTTCTATGACAATAACCCTTAATTCGGGTGTTTGAGTAGCATGTATTCATACATGCCAACACTTTCTGAGTGCATGTTTCTCGGATCAGGCACTGCTGACAAAAAGGAAATACACACAGGTTTCAAAACAAAAACAAAGCAAAACTTCTTGTAATTCAAACCCTGCTCTCTTAAGGCATTCTTTCCTGCTAAAGATACAGTGATCCAAGAAAGAAACAGAATACCACCTTTAGCCTCTGAAACTGCTGCTGTCCTTGCACTGGTGCAACTGGTGGGGCTGGATGGGCATGGCTCTGGACCACCTGGCCTCCATGAGGCTGGACAGCTGTTGGGTGATGATGACTGCTATGAACTGCTGCTATGGCGGGCCCATGACTGCCAGAACTTTGTGGCACAGCTGAAACCTGGGGTGAACAAAATGCAGACAAATTAAGGCCTATGCATTCTTCCTCAAATGCATTTAGAGAAATAACACAAATCCACAAAGCATGCCGGTGTATTTCTGCATGCACAAAGATACTAAGAAAACGAAATGTCCCAGAAAAAAGGGGAAATACTGATTTTATAAGCCTACCTATACTTAATGTTTTACAGATGTTAAAAATCATCCAATTTCAGCAGAGCATGGTGGCACATGTCTTTAATCCCAGCACCAGGGAGGCAGAGGCAGGCGGATCTCTGAGTTTGAGGCCAGCCTGACTTATGCAGTGAGTTCTAGAACAGCCATGGCTATATATATAGTGAGAGCCTGCCTCAAAATGTAATAATAACAGTAATAATAAATTTCCTGAGCACTTCTCCTATTTCAAAACTATTAATCAAAGCCGAAAGTGGGAACTCATGCCTGTAAACCTAGCACTTAAAAAGCTAAAGAAGGAGGCACTGTTCCAAGTTTGAGGTTTACTGGGGCTATATAGTGAACTCCAGGTCAACTTGAGCTACAGAGGAAGATCCTGTCTCTAAACCAAGAACAAGCAAATAATGGGGGTTGGGGGACAGTTTTAGTGTCAGTAGAGTTGACTGCTTCATTTCCAAATAAGGAGATTGAGTAATGTAAAATTTACTTTCTCTAAGCAGTATAAATTGTACACCTCAACTTAGTAAGCAAGGCTTTTCACAAATACTCATAAATTTATAAAAATGACCCTGAGTAGGGGAGACAGAAAACTAAAGCAACTATGTAAAATTACAGAAATAAAATTTATTAGGAGAATGGACAAGAAAATATCTAAGGGGCTGGAGATGTGGCTCAGCTGACAGAATGCTTGTCTAGTAGTACTCAGGAGGCCTTGGGCTCCATCTCCAGCACTCAGACTTGATGTGCCGTGCTTGCCTGCAATCTCAACAACTGGAGGACAGAAGCAGGAAGACCAGAAGTTTAAGTCATCCTCAGCTACACAGCAAGTTCAAGGACAGTCTGGGCTCTAAGAGACCTTATCTCAAAAAAAGAAAGAAGAGGAAAAAAAGAAAGAAGAAAATATATTAAATGAATTCTACAAACTCTAATACATACAACTTTCAGAAGGGGTATCAGTCTGAGCTTTTCTATTTCAAAATACACGTTTTAGGGGTTTTCATAAAACTTAATTACATGGGTTGAAGATTTGAGCTCAGTGACACAGTCCTTGCCCAGCAAGCAAGTGCTAGGGACTGGGTTCCTAGAACTTGGGAGGGAACGACACAGCAGCATTAATTATTCTTTATAAATGTTTGAGACAGCTGCTTTGACTATAAGCATGTACCATTGAGGATATAGACAACTGTATCTAATACAGGACCTAACTGTAAATCTATCTGGAAAATAAAAACAATCCCACAAGCCAAACACCTTTTTCTTCGAGTCCTAATGTAACAACCATCTGTTACTTACTGCTACACTAGCCTCGTGTGCAAGCCTTACATTTGCTTCACAGGAGACTTCTGGGAAACTGACACTCAAGCGCTTACTGGCACACATGAGGGCCTGAGTTCAATCTCTATCACTGAAGAATTAAATTAAAATAAAAAAACCAAGCCAGGTGTGGTAGTATATGCCTTTAATCCCAGCACTTGGAGGCAGAGACAGGCGGCCTGGTCTATACCAAGACTTCCGGGCTAGGCAGTGCTACATAGTGAGACCCTGCCTCAAGACAGAAAAGAAAAGAAAAGAGAAAGAGAAGAGGAAAAGGTAGTAACAAGGACAGGTTAGGGGTGTGGGTTAGCGGTAGAACACTTGCCTGACATGCACAAGGCCCTGGAATGCACCTCAACTAACACAAAGAAGTGAGGCAAGGTGGCACAACCCTGTAATCTCACAACTGGAAGGCTAGATAGAGCAGGACAGAAGTACAAGGCTAATCTGGGCTATATAATGAGATCCTAGTTCATAAAAAAAGAGAGAAAAAGCCTTAAGGAGCGAGCAAGAAAAAGAAGAGAAAGATTAAGGGTTACCTGTAGAGGGACAAAAGGGGCCAGCAGGCAATACACAGAGAACCTCAGAGGTCATGATGTAACTTTTGTTGTTTTAAACCTATCTGGTGGTTTTTACAGTACCATATGCATACATTTGAAAACATCTCCATACATATTTCATGTGAAGTTTTTCTTAGGTAGTTCCAGGATTTAGAAAAATCACTTTCACTGAATGAAACCACCACCTTCACCTCTTATTCCTACTCTCTCAGCTGGCTGCAGCTTACCTGGTAGTTAGGTGTCACTGAGTATTGAATTCCTGTAGCTGACTGCATGGTTTCAGACACTGCTTCATACACAGGAGGGGCGGGGGCAAGCACCCGGTGCTGGTGAGGAAAAGCCTCTGTGCTTCCAGGAATCCTTCGCTGCTGGGCTGCATACACCGGTGACTCCTGGTCATCCAAACGTCGCTTCATTCTGCACTCATGCTCAGGGATGCACTACAAAACCTGTAAAAATCAAACAGTGACACAGAATTAAAATCTCCCTCTAGAATGACACGGCTTCCCAAGTTGAATATAAGCCTGACTTTCAGAACTGATCTACCCCATCTTAGAGACGAACACTAAATAGTTTACACACCCCTTACAGTGAGCAAATTGGAACTGGAAGACAGAAGGTGAAGGGACAGAATTTTAATCAATTTGGTAACACTAAGTTGAAAATAATCCTACAATTAAAAAATGCAAACACTTTTAAAATCTCCTCTTCTAGTCACTCTTCTGTGGTGGTTTCAATGACAGTGGCCCTCCAGGTCATACATTTGAATGTCTGGTTTCTAGTTGGTGGACTGTTGAGAAGAATTAGGAGGTGTGGCCTTGTAAGAGGAGGTGTGTCACCAGGGGTTTCAAAAGCCCACACCATTCCCAGTTACCCATTCTCTCTCTCTGCCTCCTAGCTGTGTCTCAACACATCAGCTCTCAGCTACTGCTCCAGCCCCATGCTTGCCTGCCAGGCCATGACAACCCTGAGCTGTAAGCAAGCCCCCACTTAAAGCGCTTTTTCCTCTAAATTGTCCTGCTCATGGTGTTTCTTCACAGCAATAGTACAGTAGCTAAGGTAGCTCCTAAAACACTATTATAGTTAATACTAGTTACATATTCACATGCTGCAAATATAACTCTCAAAACTTAGTACTAGCAGGGAGTATGCTTGCTATGGGGGGGGGGGGGGGGAACTAGTAGTAGATGGATTTAGTTTCATAAATATCAATTGTTACAACTAAAGCTATCATAGAGTGATGACATGCCAGGAGCATGAAGGCAAAGGTTACCTTAAAAAAAAATGTGCCGGGCGGTGGTGGCGCACGCCTTTAATCCCAGCACTCGGGAGGCAGAGCCAGGCGGATCTCTGTGAGTTCGAGGCCAGCCTAGACTACCAAGTGAGTTCCAGGAAAGGCACAAAGCTACACAGAGAAACCCTGTCTCAAAAAACCAAAAAAAAAAAAAAAAAAAAAAAAAAACCAAAAAAAAAAAAAAAAAAAAAGTACATTTTTAAAAGTTCCTATTTAAGTCATTTTTAGCACCTCAAACTAAAAAAAAAATTAAGAATGATAGAAAAGATGACTTCCAAGTTTTCTTCAAGCTTTTTCTCACATTCTTTACATACAAGAAGTTTTTCAATTTAATAATACCTTTGTAGGGGGCATTCTCATCAACGAGTATACAAAGTCTAAATACACTTTGCCCAGGAACCCACTTAAGTTTTTTTCCTGAGCATTTCTGACATCAGTATCATTAACACAAACATAATATAGTACAGTTAAGAAGGAACACTTGGAAGCCAGCAAGATGGCTCAGAGAATAAAGGTGCTTGCTGCCAAGACTGGGAGTCTAAATCCAATCCCTGGAACCATCATGGCAGAGAAAAGGCAACTGCAATTGTCCTCTGACCTACACACACACACACACACACACACACACACACACACACACACAGTGTACACAGAAGAGATAGCTATACAAATGAAAGAGGGGCTGGAGAGAGATGCTCCAGTGGTTGAGAGAGCTTACTGCTCAATCATGAGGACCAAAGTTCCAATCACAACACCCACACCTCTTAGGTCACAGTTCTCTGTAACCTCTCCTAAACGGGATCTAGCCTCTGCAGCACTTATGTGCAGACACAGCCCTCTTCTCCACCACTAACACCCCCCCTCCACACACACACACACACACACACACACACACACACACACACACACACAATTGAAAATAAAACAAATGAACAGACAGGCAGACAGACTGTCTACTTGGCTGGTGTGAAAGGTCAAGCAGTGTGTGCTTACTATGCAAACAGGAGGATCTAAGTGGAACTTCCAGAATTCATAAAACAAACAAAACTGGGGGCAGGAGAGATGGCTCACTGGTTACGAGCACTGGTCCTTTTGAAGGACCCAGGTTTGAGTTCCAGCACCCACACACCAGCTCACAACAGTAACTCAGTTACTCCGGTTCCAGGGGCTCTGACACCCTCTTAGGCCCCCAAGGGCAGCAAAAGCATGCAAACAGTGCACAGACATGCGTCCAGGTGAAAACTCCCATACACACACAAATTTTAATGTATAAAAACTTAAAGACATCAACCCTATTTCAAAAAGATAATATTATAGTTAGGCATGATACTGGGGGGCAGCCTGCAGAACTGCAATTTCAAAGTTCAAGGCCAGCCTTAGTCAGACAACTTACTGTGTTTCAGAATTTCTTTAAAGGGCTGGGCAGCTGGTATCTGTAATCCTGATGCAGAAGTGGTGGGTAGGCCAGAGATAGAATCTCCAGAGCTTGCTGACCAATTAGTCTAGCCAAGTTGGAGTGCTCCAGGTTCTGGAATAGACCTTGAACACATCTGTGTATATTCATAAACACACGCATGCATGCACGCGTGCGCGCGCACACACACACACACACACACACACACACACACACACACACAAAATTAAAGGAAGGGAAAATTCAGTAATGCCTAGATTTAGTAAATTATTCCCCACATCTGAAGACTTTTAATAGATAAAATCATAAGTCATTAGTTATATCTAATTTCTGAATCTACTCATCCTTTTCACACAAGCCTAAAAAAAGCAGCAGCCCTCCCAAGAACCCTCACTCCACCAAGACCACTTCTCTTCTCCGTTACCATCACTCACAACCTAACTTGTCATTCCTACACTCATCTTTGAAACAAGACCTCAGGATTCTCTGATCCCACACAAACCTATGCTGGGCTCTCAGACAGTAACCCCATGGTTTACCTTGCAAGCTATTTTTAATATTATCTTTTCAAAAACTTCAAGCTACAGATATATTCTGATCTGTAACTTTAGATCCAAGAATTATTCTCCAAGTCTGTATGTGACAGTACGTCCAACTTAGTTAACTAGCGTTGAACAGATACCACAGACAGCTCTGAGGGGAAATCATCTAAAATGCCTTTACTATTTCCCTACTAAAAACTAACTTACTTAGTTCAACATTTAAAAAAAAACCTTATACACATTAAAGGGTTATAAGCATACATTTATACATGCTATTTGAGAGCTAGAGAAATAACTCAGGGTTAAGAACACTGGCTGTTCATGCAGAGGACCCAGGTTCAGTCACCAGCACCCACCCCACATGGTAGCTCACATGCTATCTGACAACCACAGTGTCACAGGTCACTAAATCTCAGCCTATTTGGGGATGAGAAACCAAGTCTTATAAATGGACAGACTACAACGTCCTTATAATTACTGGCTGCTACTTCTAGCCACAAATGAAACCAGAGTTTGGCTTTAGTTTTTATTGGTTTAAAACCGAGATGTTAATATTTTGAGATTAATCTCTACCCAAAAGCCAGTATTTTACAAATGATAAATAAACCAAATGAGTATGAAGAACACAGCACAGGACTATGAAAAAAATAGAATATTTTCTAGGCACTAGACTCTAGCCAAACTCTCTTGAAATTTTGTAGCTCTGGTCCTATTTTATGTGATGTTCAAATGCTAGTCTGTGAGCCAGTTTATAGAAAAATGAAAAAATAAGAGATTATAATGAGTGTTTCATTAAGTATTAAAAGCACTTTAATTTATTGTGAGATCATGTTTTTAACATTCACTTTGTTTTTTCTTTATTTAAAATTTTATATGTATGGGTGTTTTATCTGCATGTGTATCTGTGCATAACATGTGTGCCTGGTGCTTGAGTAGTACGGACAAGTCAAGCCAGGAGGTGGTGACACACACCTTAATCCCAGCACTTGGGAGGCAGAGGCAGATGGATCCCTGAGTTCGAGGCCAGACTGGTCTATAGAGCGAGTTCCAAGACAGCCAGGGCTACACAGAGAAACTCTGTCTCAAACAAACAAACAAAAAGTAATTGCAGTTTATGGGGTACTGTGCTGGATCGAACCCAGGGCCTTGTACAGTCTAAGCAAGTACCATTAAGTTACATCCCTAGTCAGTAACTAATTTTATGACATATTTAACCACATTCATTTCCAGAATGAATTTCCATTTCCCAGACCATTTATATAAAACTGATGAGATGTTGTCCAGAGCCAGAGTTTTCTCTTAACTATGTGCCTTTGCCAATTTCCTATCTCCCCAACTAGTCACTTCCCTTTTAGTAGCATAACCCCTCCTTTACTTCGGGCCTTCAGCAGACCTCATCAAGACAAGTGACAATATACTTTCCAATCATTTCTTCCCATCTCTACACTGCTTTCAAATGTACCTCAAATGTAAATCTAATCTACCACTAGCTTCCCAATACTTTAAATACAACCCATGGGTCTGGAAAAATGGCTTGGTAGTTAAAAGCACTGGTTACTCTTCCAGAGAACCAGGGTTTGATTCTCAGCATCCACATGGCAGTTCATAACCTGTCACCCTACTCCAAGGAATCCAACACCCTCTTCTGTCCTCCTCAGGGACCAGGCATTCACAAGATGCACATACATATACACAGGCAAATACACTACACATAAATAATTTTAAGTTTTACTTTAAAAATATAACCCAAATTCCTCGAATTCCTTAATTTAGTCTACACAACTATTCACTGAAGTCAGAATGCCCAAGCCCAGCACTCAGGGAGCAGAGACATCACTCACTACGAGTATCAGATCAGCAAGGCCTAAATAGGCAGTCCTAGACCAGCTACTGCTTACATGACTCTGCTTCAGAAAACAGCACCAAAACAAACAAAACACATACACTCAAAATTAAAAACACAACCAAACAAAAACCCCTTCTTTGAGTCGGGTATGTCTAGAGGGAGGGAAATCTTTACTTCCAGAATCCATTCCTTCCTTTAGCTAGTCTGCCAATTTCTGGGGCAGTAGGCAACACCAATGTTGGGGTCAACTTTATTTGACGCAAGTGCTCTACCATTAAGCTATAATCCCAATCACATTTTTGTTTCTGAAGTAAGTTTTTTTTTTTTTTGGTTTTTCGAGACAGGGTTTCTCT